AGCTGACTTTTCTCAAAAGGAACCTCATCGTGGTTAGCTACATCAAAATTAGAAATATTGCTATAGCCAGCATTGTAGAGCATTTTTCACGTCTTGCTGCAGCTTTATCTCATTTCGAAACAACAGAGACATGCTGTGAAAAGCAGCGCGCCGCTGAAAACGTTGTGAAATGGTTTGAAAACGTTGTGAAATGGTTTGTCAGCAGCGCTAGTTTTGTTGTGACGTTCAGTCCTCGCTGTTGCTCCTACATGAGGAACGACGTTTGGGGCTTTGCGTGTCAAAAAACATACATTTACATGTTAGTCATTTAGCAGACGCTCTTATCCAGTGCGACTTACAGTTAGTGAGTGCATACATTATTATAATTTTTTTCATACTGGCCCCCCTGTGGGAATCGAACCCACAACCCTGGCGTTGCAAACGCCATGCTCTACCAACTGAGCTACATCCCTGCCGGCCATTCCCTCCCCTACCCTGGACGACGCTGGGCCAATTGCGCGCCGCCCCATGGGTCTCCCGGTCGCGGCCGGCTACAACAGAGCCTGGATTCGAACCAGGATCTCTAGTGGCACAGCTAGCACTGCAATGCAGTGCCTTAGACCACTGCGCCACTCGGGAAATTTAACACGTTCATAAATGTTTTTACGTAGTTATTACACATTGATTACACTATCACTGGTATTTCATATGTCACAACGACTCATCGATACGTATGCAATGATGCTGGTAAAGTTTTGTCTCACGCACCTGCCCTTCTCCAAGCTCTGGACAGTGCTGGTCATAAAAAAAAGCTGCCTAACGTTAATTTTCTTCCCCAAAAACATAGCAAAACGAGATCATCTGTTTCAGTAGTTATAGTTAGCTAGCTAACTATCTAGCTAGGTGTCATCATCTAAAATACCCCTAATTTATAAAACTGTTCTTATTTGATTAATGGTGGTCGGACCCACTTATGTGAAGCTAGCCACAATAAGGATTAGCCACAATAGTGGAATTTGCGGTTAGCCTTCAAAATAAAAGTATGTAATTGACAAATCAAAATCAAATCAAATCAAATCAAATTGTATTGGTCACATGCGCCGAATACAACAGGTGCAGACATTACAGTGAAATGCTTACTTACAGCCCTTAACCAACAGTGCATTTATTTTTAACAAAAAAAGTAAAAATAAAACAACAACAAAAAAAGTGTTGAGAAAAAAAGAGCAGAAGTAAAATAAAATAACAGTAGGGAGGCTATATATACAGGGGGGTACCGTTGCAGAGTCAATGTGCGGGGGCACCGGCTAGTTGAGGTAGTTGAGGTAATATGTACATGTGGGTAGAGTTAAAGTGACTATGCATAAATAATTAACAGAGTAGCAGCAGCGTAAAAAGGATGGGGTGGGGGGGGCAGTGCAAATAGTCTGGGTAGCCATGATTAGCTGTTCAGGAGTCTTATGGCTTGGGGGTAGAAGCTGTTGAGAAGTCTTTTGGACCTAGACTTGGCACTCCGGTACCGCTTGCCGTGCGGTAGCAGAGAGAACAGTCTATGACTAGGGTGGCTGGAGTCTTTGACAATTTTGAGGGCCTTCCTCTGACACCGCCTGGTATAGAGGTCCTGGATGGCAGGAAGCTTGGCCCCAGTGATGTACTGGGCCGTACGCACTACCCTCTGTAGTGCCTTGCAAATGAATACAAATAGCGGAATTATGCCATGGATCATGCTAAACGAGGTTGGATTGTAGTTATAAACTCAGCAAAAAAAGAAATGTCCCTTTTTCAGGACCCTGTCTTTCAAATATAATTAGTAGAAATCCAAATAACTTCACAGATCTTCATTGTAAAGGGTTTAAACACGGTTTCCCATTCTTGTTCAATGAACCATAAACAATTAATGAACATGCACCTGTGGAACGGTCATTAAGACACTAACAGCTTACAGACGGTAGGCAATTAAGGTCACAGTTATGAAAACGTAGGACACTAAAGAGGTATTTCTACCGACTCTGAAAAACACCAAAAGAAAGATGCTCAGAGTCCCTGCTCATCTGCGTGAACGGCCAAGGGAGTGGGCTCAGTCACAATTTTGCCTAAGAACACAGCCATGAATAAAGAATGGTACCAACACATCCTCCGAGAGCAACTTCTCCCAACCATCCAAGAACAGTTTGGTGACGACCAATGCCTTTTCCATCACGATGGAGCACCTTGCCATAAGGCAAAAGTGATAACTAAGTGGCTCGGGGAACAAAACATCGAAATTTTGGGTCCATGGCCAGGAAACTACCCAGACCTTAATCCCATTGAGAACTTGTGGTCGATCCTCAAGAGGCGGGTGGACAAACAAAACCCCACAAATTATGACAAACTCCAAGCATTGATTATGCAAGAATGGGCTGCCATCAGTCAGGATGTGGGCCAGAAGTTAATTGACAGCACGCCAGGGCGGATTGCAGAGGTCTTGAAAAAGAAGGGTCAACACTGCAAATATTGACTCTTTGCATAAACTTAATGTAATTGTCAATAAAAGCCTTTGACACTTATGGAATGCTTGTAATTATACTTCAGTATACCATAGTAACATCTGACAAAAATATCTCATAACACTGAAGCAGCAAACTTTGCGAAGACCAATACTTGTGTCATTCTCAAAACTTTTGACCACGACTGTACAGCTCCCACAATCTTCTTATTAGCAATTTCTTTCAACCAATCATTAGTCATTTGTGTCAGTGTATGTTGAGTGCCCTTCTCTATAAGCATGCTGAAAGTCTGTTGTTAATTTGTCAAAGACCATTTTTTCCAACAGTTTGCTAAGAGCTGGCAGCAAGCTGATAGGTCTGCTGTTAGAACCAGTAAAGGCCGCTTTACCACTTTTGGGTGGCGGAATGACTTTGGCTTCCCTCCAGGCCTGAGGACAAACACCTTCCTCTAGACGCAGATTAAAGATATGACAGATAGGAGTGGCCATAGAGTCAGCTACCATCCTCAGTAGCTTTCCATCTAAGTTGTCAATGCCAGGGGGTTTGGCATTATTGATCGATAACAATAATTTTTCCACCTCTCCCACACTAACTTTACAAAATTCAAACTTACAATGCTTTTTCATTTTTTATTTTTTTTTATGCATGAGTACGATTGTTCGTTGTTGGCATTTGCTGCCTAAGTTTGCCCACTTTGCAAATGAAGTAATCATTAAAATAATTGGCAACATCAAATGGTTTTGTGATGAATAAGCCATCTGATTTCGATAAAAGACGGAGTTGAATTTGTCTTTCTGCCCATAATTTCATTGAAAGTACTCCAAAGTTTTTTTTTTCCATCATTCTTTATATAATTAATCTTGGCTTCATAATACAGTTTCTTTTCCTTTTTGTTGAGTTTAGTCACATAATTTCCCAATTTGCAGTAAGTCAGCCAGTCAGATGTGCAGCCAGACTTATTAGCCACTCCTTTTGCCCCGTCTCTTTCAACCATACAGTTTTTCAATTCCTCAGTTCTAACAGTCAGTTTCTTAACAGGTGCATATTTATCAATAATTGGAAGAATCAATTTCATAAATCAATCAAGTGCAGCATCTGGATGCTCCTTATTAATCACATCAGACCAACAAATATTTGTATCATCATCCACATAAGTAACAGTAAAATATTATTATATTATTATACACTATTTTAGGCCCAGCTTTCAGAACTTTGCCTTTCCTGTATATAGCCACTATATTGTGATCATTGCATCCAATGGGTACGGATACAGCTTTAGAACAAAGTTCTACAGTATTAGTAAAAATGTGATCAATACATGTGGAGGATCTTGTTCCTGTAGTGTTTGTAAACACCTTGGTAGGTTGATTAATAACCTGAACCAGATTACAGGCACTGGTTACAGTGGGAAGCTTCCTTTTGAGCGGACAGCTTGATGAAAAACAGTAATTATTCAGGTCTCCAAGAAAATAGACCTCTGTTTACATCACATACACTATCAAGCATTTCACACACATTATTTAGATACTGACTGTTAGCACTTGATGGCCTATAGTAACACCCCAAAATAATAAGCATTAGATCAGGTAGGTGAACCTGCATCCACAGTACTTCAATAAACACTTGACATGAGATCTTCTCTAATCATTACTGGGATATGGCTCTGAATAAATAAAGCAACACCTCCCCCATAGGCATTACTGTCTCTTTCTATCCTCGTATTGCTACTGCTGTATCAAAGGAATTATCTAAGTGAGTCTCAGAAATGGCTAATATACTAAATGTTATCTGATGTTAGAAAGTTATTGATTTCATGAACCTTATTTCTTAGGCTACATATATTAATATGGACAATTTTCAGCCCTTTCCTGGGTAGCTTATCAGAGATAAACAAAATATGGAAAAGAGCAAACAAAGCAAGTGAAAAAAAATATACGTTCAGCAGTCCATTAATCCGTTGGTGTGTGTAAGTGTGTGTGTGTGTGTGTGTGCTGTGGGGTTGAAGCTACAAACCCATAGGCAGTGGTTCCCAACGTTTTTTCGGTTACTGTACCACCAGCTTAATTTTTCTCTGCCGGGAGTACCCCCTCGTACATTTTACAAGTAGGCTTTTGGACTCATGTCTTCTCAAGTACCCCCTGTGGATAGGCCAAGCACTCCCAGTGGTCCACGTACCCCTGGTTGGGAACCACTGGTGTTTCGGGGCGGCAGGTAGCTTAGTGGTTAAGAGCGTTGTGCCAGTAACTGAAAGGTCGCTGGTTCTAATCCCTCAGCCTACTAGGTGAAAAATCTGCCGATGTGCCCTTGAGCAAGGCACTTAACCCTAATTGCTCCTGTAAGTCGCTCTGGATAAGAGCGTCTGCTAAATGACCTATTATTATAATGAATTCACACTCCAGTACAGTAGGTGGTGGTGTATGCACCGTTCAGTTGGTTGCGATCCGCCAGTACACATTTAAAGAAGAAGGAGTGTTTCGCAAGTGAATAATATCTGGCTAGCGTTGGACATATCGTAACACTTGAAGTTGATCAACCATGTCAGTGAAATCATGTTGTATTTACAGCATGGGAGTGATTTCCATGCTAACTTTGATAGCGGGCATAGTTCTGGTGCTTTCGCAGGTGTTTCAAAACATCGTCGACGCGAAGATAAAAGAGGTAACGTTAACGCTAGCCAGTGGCAAGCTAGCTAGCAGGCCAACTTGGTTGTTCAACCAACCAGCCAAACAGAGGCTAATTGTATTTGAATTTGATTTTAACGTCAAGTAATCTAATCTAACTAGAGAACTAGTTAGAATGCAGCTAACAGTAGCCTGGCAGCTTAAGCTTGCTAACTAGCTAGCTCGTTGTAGCCTACAAACGTTTAAAATACTTCGTGTACAGTAAGCTTAGCCTGATTTGTTTTTTAACATCACTGTGAAAACTTGACAAACTATTCTTGTCTGAATTGAATGTTAGCATTGACATATATATCCAGTCAATATGCTGTGTTGTGGTCAGACGGACAAACAAATGCTTTAGTTGGCTGCTACTGTTCACGTTAGCTACCTGGTTCAATCATCTGTCGTGCGAATCGAGCTTTCATATCAGCTTTTGTGGTCACAAGCTATGTGTTTACTAACCAGTGTACGTTGAACCCTAGGAGACTGTGCTCAGGAATGGCACGCTGGCATTTGACGTGTGGGAAAACCCACCTTCTCCAGTTTACATGCAGTTCTACTTCTTCAACGTGACCAACCCGGCAGAGGTGCTGAGGGGAGAGCGGCCTGCTGTTATGGAGGTTGGACCCTACACATACAGGTGAGATGTGGAGCAATTCATGACGATGAGTAAAACTGTCACGGGCTAAAGATGAGATGCAGTCTTGAGTAAAGATGACCGCAACTGAGCCAATTTCTAATATCTGTTGTGACATTTGTCATGTGATAGTCATTGTCAGCAAGTAGGAAGGAACTCAGCTGACATTTACACAACTGGTGACATGTCCTGTGCTTCCTTAACAGGATCAGGGGATTCTGTGCTAAATGTGTAACTCTGTGAATGAACCCAGCTTAGGATAGGAGGCTTGTTGGGTTCTCTCTTGGCAGCATGAAACCAAGCCCCGATGAGATGTTTATCACTGAGGCGATCAAGTCAGCAGTAGGACCTAGGTCTCCATGGCTGCGCTTACACAGGCAGCCTAATTATTATCTATTGCCCAATTATTTGTCATTTGAGCAGTCAGATAAGATCTTTTGCCAACAATTGGGCAAAAGTTCAGAATTGGGCGGCCTGTGTAAACGCAGCCATTGGGGCAGCATGAACGCTTTAGTTCTAGGTATTATACAAGCATTGACTGGTGGGCTTGCTCCCATCCACTCGCCTCAAAATGAACATTTTTGGCTAGCTTGCATGTTTCCATAGCTTGGGTAACACTCTGTTTGTGCCATCATGCCAGTCCTTGTCTGGCATGATAACACAAACAGATCTAGGACCATCAGGCTAATGTTTCCACGCACCTTATCTGGCTTGCCCTCACCAGATGTCTCCTTTTCTTCAGCACATTCTTCTTGGTTCTTGCCATCACTCACTGTGTTTTTATAATGTTTCCTTGCTCAGGGAGTTTCGTCCGATGGAGCGAGTTAATTTCCTGGAGAATGGAACCAAAGTGTCTGCTGTCAACACTAAGACCTATGTGTTTGAGCCTGACATGTCCAGAGGTCCAGAGAGTGACCTGATCAGAACAGTCAACATCCCAGCTATGGTAGGGTACAACACACACCCCCCTAAACAGAACAGTCAACATCCTAGCTGTGGTAGGCTTAGCTACAATACATAAAACTGCCTCTTTTTTGTGTATGAAACATAAAAACGTGTTCTGATTGAAGAGAGTTGTAGCAGAGGCACCGCGACTTCCATTTACAGAGTACAGTATATACATCAACGTTTCAATTTACATTAGCAACGGAATGTCATGTGCTGAGAGAGGGTTCGGGGGCTCAGGTCAAATTGACGGTAAATATTCCAGTATAGCCACTAGCCAGTAAAGGGATGTACAACGTCTACACCAACGGATCTGACGGACCTTTGTTTGCGTCGCTCTCTTAAGTAGTTCTACATACTTTTGTGCGACCTAATTTTTGGAGCATGATGCGAAGGGAGCTCCATTTGCGTTGACTGTAAAAAATCACAATGGAGAGCCCTTAAGCATGCTTTTAACAAACTATTCAACTATGGAAGCAACTTTTCATCCTAACCATATTACACTCTTGAATAATGCAAGTGTAATGCTACCCAGGGAAAAATAATTGCAGAACGAGCTCTATTTTGTTGGCTTCTGGTACATTCTAATGCCTTGATTCCATCTGAAATACACAGCTAAATGATTCTATACTTTAATGACTTTACTTCCCAGATTGGTCAAATTTAGTTGTGGGATTGAGTAGAAAGACATGACTTTACAATGACATTGACTGAAAATGTAGGAATTCAGTGTGTTGTTTTGGATATTATCTAGGCCTACATGATCTGGACTGTTTTTTTAAGTAAGAACCTTTTTTTTATATATTTTTTTTGTTATTTTACCCCCTTTTTCTCCCCAATTACGGTCTTGTCTCATCACTGCAACTCCCCAATGGGCTTGGGAGAGGCGAAGGTCGAGTCATGCGTCCTCCGAAACATGACCCGCCAAACCGTGCTTCTTAACACCCGCTCGCTTAACCCTGAAACCATTGGATGGGGAGCATCGCTGCACAGCTATTTCCAGGTCTCTCCAGAGATGTTCAATCGTTTTCAAGTCCGGGCTCTGGCTGGGCTACTCAAGGACATTCAAAGACTTGTCCCAAAGCCACTCCTGCGTTGTCTTGGCTGTGTGCTTAGGGTCGTTGTCCTGTTGGAAGGTGAACTTTTGCCCCAGTCTGAGGTCCTGAGCACTCTGGAGCAGGTTTTCATCAAGGATCTCTCTGTACTTTGCTCCGTTCATCTTTGCCTCGATCCTGACTTTTTAAATTAGCAAAATAAATCTTAAAACCTGTTTTCGCTTTGTCATTATGGGGTATTATGACGTATTCTAGAAAACAAACAAAAAAACAAATCCATTTTAGAATAAGGCTGTAACTGAACAAAGTGTGGAAAAAGTCAAGGGGTCTGAATACATTCCGAAGGCACTGTGTGTGTGTGTATATGTGTATGTATATATATATATATATATATATATATAACAAAAAATATAAATGCAACAATTTCCACCCACCCAATCACAATGAGTTTCTCCCCACAAAAGGGCTTTATTACAGACCGAAAATACTCCTCAGTTTCATCAGCTGTCCGGGTGGCTGGTCTCAGACAATCCCGCAGGTGAAAAAGCCAGATGTGGAGGTCCTGGGCTGGCATGGTTACACATGGTCTACGGATGTGAGGCCGGTTGGACATACTGCCAAATTCTCTAAAACGAAATTGGAAGCGGCTTATGAACATTACATTCTCCTGCAACAGCTCTGGTCGACATTCCTGCAGTCAGCATGCAAACTGCACGCTCCCTCAAAACTTGAGGCGTCTGTGGCATTGTGTTGTGTGATAAAACTGTACATTTTAGTGGCCTTTTATTGTCCCCAGCACAAAGTGCACCTGTGTAATGATTGTGCTGTTTAATCAGCTTTTTGATATGCCACACCTGTCAGGTGGATGGATTATCTTGGCAAAGGAGAAATGCTCACTAACAGGGATGTAAACACATTTGTGCACAACATTTGAGAGAAGCTTTTTGTGCATATGGAACATTTCTGGGATTTTTAATTTCAGCTCATGAAACATGGGACCAACACTTTACATGTTGCATTTTTATATTTTTGTTCAGTATATATTTATAATAAAGAAAACACACTAAATAAGACGGGAAGCTATATTCAGGGTCACTGCCAATACCACATTTACAGTGTGCAGGGATACTGGAGTGTTTGAGGTAGATATGTACATATAGGCAGGTATTAGGAGATGGTGATTGGTAGCAGCACAAGAGGTGTGTGTGCAGTGTAGGTGTTATAGGCGGATATACATGTAAACAGTGCTGGTATGTGTCTGGTAGCAGGAATATATAAATACTTACGGTAATATACTAATGGTAATATATACATGTAATCGAGACCAGTAACAGGATTAAATAGATGGGTACTAATGGTAATGGCAAACAATAATAAATGAACAGCAGCGTAGGTGTTAGGGGGTGCAGTTGTTAGACATTTAACAGACTTATGGCCAGGGAATAAAAGCTGTTTAGGAGTCCGTTGGTCTGTGCCTTGCTGCACCGGTACCATCTGCTGGACGGGAGCATGGAGAACAGTCCATTTCTCGGGTGTCTGGAGTATTTGGCAATTTTTCAGGCCTTTATCAGACACCGCTTGGCATGTACATCCTGGATGGCTGGGAGCTCTTCCCCCATTGATGCGCTGGGCCGTCCGCACCACCTTCTGTAGGGCCTTCCGGTCGAGGGCGGTGCAGTTGCCATACCAGACGGTGATACAACTAGGGGGGGGGGGGGGGTGTCAGCATGGCGTAGGTGTTGTTGCCTACTCTTACCACCGAGGGTCGGTCCGTCAGGAAGTCCAGGATCCAGTGGCAGAGGGTGGTGTTCTGTCCCAGGGTCCCGAGCTTGGAAGGCGCTATGGTGTTGAATGCTGAGCGGTAGTCAATGAACGTCATCCTCACATAGGTATTCATTTTTTTCTAGGTGGGGCAGAGTGGAGTGCAATTGAGATTTGCGTCGTCTGTGGATCTGTTGGGGCGTTATGCAAATTCACGCCCTGGAATACCGTCCAGACCAATCAATCAATCCCTGGGTGGGACTTTGAGGGAAGGCGGTAGATTACTAATCTGGTCAGAAAAACGAGTCTAGTCTAATCTTTCAATTTAATTTATTCTGGCAAAAACTAAATATAGTATTTTCAATTTAGTTTATTGTAGCAAAAACCTAAGAAAAAAAGCTTGTGTTCTGTCAAGTAAACATGGATTCCCTGTGAGAAACAATATAGAATTGCAGGAAAATGTTTTTTTTTTTTAATTCAGGGGATAATTTTGTTCAGTGCAAGTATCATGACATTTTTTAGCTTTTTATAAAATTCAATCGGTTTTCATTGATCACATTATGGACCAGAATGAGTCTCTCTCTCCACTACCTATTGTTCCTGCAGTAAGGATTCAAAATCTTCATAGAATGTTTTCATCATTTATTTGCATATAATCCACAAAAAAGCAGTTGTAGCCTACCAGTATGCAAATTGGGGAGCCGAATGAATGGCCCTCTCACCGATTCGGTTCCGTTCGCCTAACCGATCCTTTCAAAAAGAGCCGTTTGTTTGCGAACAACCAATCACTAGGCTAACACTGAAGAGTGACTTTAGCGGTCACTGTCAAGTCTCGACATGGGCTTTGAATCCTAGGAAAAATACAAACTATCTTTGGTTTACGTGTCCTGGTTACGATACCATGGATTGATTGTACAAAACATTAGGAGCACCTCCCTAATATTGAGTTGCACTCCCTTCTGCCCTCAGAACAGCCTCAATTCGTCAGTGCATGGAGTGTTGGGCCCAACGAGACAATTCTGTTTACACGGTCCTGCTTGGAGGGGGACAACTGTCGGGAGACTGTCTTGTTACCTCAGGCGGTAGTGGTCGTGACATGAGACATTTTCGGCTTTGCGTTACAGTAATATGTCTATTCTCTGGGGAAAAAATGTGATGGCTCTCAAGAATATCCTTCAACTTTCGTCCATGTAGGGCTCGGCGATAAGGCTCAAATATAATATCACGGTATTTACAAAAAAATTGATGGTATTTGACGGTATTTTATGTTTTTTGAATAATACAAGTAAAAAATGTGCTTTATGAGTAGTGCGTGACCCTAGGGTGGCAACACATACATTCTATGTGATTTCAATGGGTCCTTCTCCATTCTGATGTTGTTTTATACTGTTCAATTAAAATGTTCATCAATTTCTGCATTTCCTGCACTCATTTCAGATCATTTCCAGACTGCCACGTAGGACTGCACGATATATAGGCCTTATTTTTAACCAAATGTTGCGATTTAGAGCATAACACTTGGGTGAACTGGGTGGCGCAGTGGTCTAAGGCACTGCATCGCAGTGCTAGCTGTGCCACTAGAGATCCTAGTTCGAATCCAGGCTCTGTCGTAGCCGGCCGCGACCGGGAGACCCATAGAGCGGCGCACAATTGGCCCAGCGTCGTCCAGGGTAGGGAATGGCCGGCAGGGATGTAGCTCAGTTGGTAGAGCATGGTTTTTGCAACGATTCCCACGGGGGGCCAGTATGAAAAGTCAAAAAATAATGTATGCACTCACTAACTGTAAGTTGCTCTGGATAAGAGCGTCTGCTAAAATTACTAAATAAATAATAATAAATAACTGTTGGAACCATGGAAATGTAATTATTATTCTAATTCTACAGTTAGAATATAATAGTGGGCACTTTGGTATTTTATTAGGATCCCCATTAGCTGTTGCAAAAGCAGCAGCTACTCTTCCTGGGGTTCCACACAAAACATGAAACATGACATAATACAGAACATTAATAGACAAGAACAGCTCAAGGACAGGACTACATCAAACCGTTTTTTTAAAGGAACACTTCAAATCACATTTGTTTTGTCACATACACGTGTTTATCAGATGTTATAGCGGGTGTAGCGAAATGCTTGTGCTTCTAGCTCCGACAGTGCAGTAATATCTAACAAGTAGTATCTAACAATTTCACAACATATACCCAATACACACACAACTAGTAAGGAATGGAATTTAAGAATATATACATATGGACAAGCAATGACAGAGCGGCATGGACTAAGATACAGTAGAATATTATAGAATAGAATGCAGTATATACATATGAGATGAGTAGTGCAAGATATGTAAACATTATTAAAGTGACTAGTGTTCCATTTCTTAAAGTGGCCAGTGATTTCAATAGGCAGCAGCAGCTTCTAATGTGCTAGTGATGGCTATTTAACAGTCTGATGGCCTTGAGATAGAAGCTGTTTTTCATTCTCTCGGTCCCAGCTTTGATGCACCTGTACCGACCTCGCCTTCTGGATGATAGCGGGGTGAACAGGCAGTGGCTCGGGTGGTTGATGTTCTTGATGATATTTTTGGCCTTCCTGTGACATCGGGTGCTGTATGTGTCTTAGAGGGCGGGTAGTTTGCCCCCGATAATGCGTTCGGCAGACCGCACCACCCTCTGGAGAGCCCTGCGGTTGCGGGTGGTGCAGTTGCCGTACCAGGCGGTGATACAGCCCGACAGGATGCTCTCAATTGTGCATCTGTAAAAGTTTGTGAGGGTTTTAGGTGCCAAGCCGAATTTGTTCAGCCTCCTTAGGTTGAAGAAGCTCTGTTGCACCTTCTTCACCACACTGTCTGTGTGGGTGGACCATTTTCAGTTTGTCGGTAATGTGTACGCCAAGGAACTTGAAGCTTTCCAGCTTCTCCACTGCGGTCCCGTCGATGTGGATAGGGGGGTGCACCCTCTGCTGTTTCCTGAAGTCCACGATCATCTCCTTTTGTTTTGTTGACGTAGCCTGCATATCAATACATACACACAAACTATCTAGGTCAAAACTTTGAATAGTGTTTGACATGACAACGAATGAAAAATGCCAGGGAATAATTATTGTGACAGGATAGGAACCAAATTGTTTATAAGTGTTTCCTAGGGGACCGTATAATCTTTGGCTACATTTGAATGTTTTCTCTTAGCAACTTAATGTAGCTAACATATTCTTGCTTCATGTATTCCTCTTTGATTTAGAAGATACTGTTGCACAAACAACATGCAGATTTAGGTCTACACCGTCCCTGGTATTATCAGGCTGTATAGCTAATTACGTTTGTTCTGACTCAGTACATTTATTAGCTAGCTAGCGATTTAGAATTAGCGGCTAACAAGATTTAGGGCCAACTTGCTAAGACAAGACAAACTCGCTGTTTGCGGATGTAAGAAACACTAACTAATAGTGAAATTATAGAACGCTAGTGGATTTATTTTAGGAAGCAAAGTCAAAACCGCATCGTTGTCATCAACTTTGTTGCATGTGCTGCATTGACCATGGGAGGGGAGGGAGAGAGGGAACAAACGGCGTACCACCTTTTTAACAAACCAAACATTCAAATACCGTTGTAGAAGGTAAAGTAAAAACCCAAACTGGTCCGTGCATCACTACCGGTATATCATAAAGTACGGGATACCACCCAGCCCTACGTCAATGTAAAAAGGTTCATTTTGTCTTTGGAGAGCTTACGGAAGGTGGTGGTGCTTATGTTTGTCCTATTGTCACACGCACTTTAATGAAGCACTCACTTTTGATGAAGCATGTCAGTAGTACAGCTGTCTGATGTATGAGTGTTGCTACAGCTGTCTGATGTATGAGTGTTGCTACAGCTGTCTGATGTATGAGTGTTGCTACAGCTGTCTGATGTATGAGTGTCGCTACAGCTGTCTGTTGTATGAGTGTCGCTACAGCTGTCTGTTGTATGAGTGTCGCTACAGCTGTCTGTCTGTGAGTGTCGCTACAGCTGTCTGATGTATGAGTGTCGCTACAGCTGTCTTGTATGAGTGTCGCTACAGCTGTCTGTTGTATGAGTGTTGCTACAGCTGTCTGTTGTATGAGTGTCGCTACAGCTGTCTGTTGTATGAGTGTTGCTACAGCTGTCTGTTGTATGAGTGTCGCTACAGCTGTCTGATGTATGAGTGTCGCTACAGCTGTCTTGTATGAGTGTCGCTACAGCTGTCTGTTGTATGAGTGTCGCTACAGCTGTCTGATGTATGAGTGTCGCTACAGCTGTCTGATGTATGAGTGTCGCTACAGCTGTCTGATGTATGAGTGTCGCTACAGCTGTCTGTTGTATGAGTGTCGCTACAGCTGTCTGTTGTATGAGTGTCGCTACAGCTGTCTGTTGTATGAGTGTCGCTACAGCTGTCTGATGTATGAGTGTCGCTACAGCTGTCTGATGTATGAGTGTTGCTACAGCTGTCTGATGTATGAGTGTCGCTACAGCTGTCTGTTGTATGAGTGTTGCTACAGCTGTCTGATGTATGAGTGTTGCTACAGCTGTCTGATGTGTGAGTGTCGCTTGTGAATGGCGATGCATTCAGTTCTGAGTATTCTCTCTCTTTCTGTTCCCAGACGGTGATGGAAAAATTCAAGGATTCGCCGTTTATGGCCAATATCATCTCATCTTACATGAAGTCGGTCAATGAAGATCTATTCACTACCCACGCTGTGGGAGAACTGCTTTGGGGCTACGAGGACGGCCTTCTCAAAGCTCTGAAATTACTGCAGCCTACATTAGATGATGTGTTTGGACTCTTCTACAAGGTTTGGTTCTCACTCACTACCCAATATGGACTGTATGATTGGTTGTGATATGTTGATTGGTGTTAGGTATTTGGTTGTGATATGTTGATTAGTGTTAGGTATTTGGTTGTGATATGTTGATTGGTGTTAGGTATTTGGTTGTGATATGTTGATTGGTGTTAGGTATTTGGTTGTGATATGTTGATTGGTGTTAGGTATTTGTATTTGTGTGTTTTTAAGTGGTTGGTTATTTAAGTGCTGTAGTTATATAACGTTTTGTAACTGTAGTCACTTCATAAAGAAAGTATAGACTTAGATCTAGGAAAGCCTTGCCATGTGAATAGATCTAGGAAAGCCTTGCCATGTGAATAGATCTAGGAAAGCCTTGCCATGTGAATAGATCTAGGAAAGCCTTGCCATGTGACTAGATCTAGGAAAGCCTTGCCATGTGAATAGATCTAGGAAAGCCTTGCCATGTGAATAGATCTATGAAAGCCTTGCCATGTGACTAGATCTAGGAAAGCCTTGCCATGGGAATAGATCTAGGAAAGCCTTGCCATGTGAATAGATCTAGGAAAGCCTTGCCATGTGAATAGATCTAGGAAAGCCTTGCCATGTGAATAGATCTAGGAAAGCCTTGCCATGTGAATAGATCTAGGAAAGCCTTGCCATGTGAATAGATCTAGGAAAGCCTTGCCATGTGACTAGATCTATGAAAGCCTTGCCATGTGAATAGATCTAGGAAAGCCTTGCCATGTGAATAGATTTTACATTTTACATTTAAGTCATTTAGCAGACGCTCTTATCCAGAGCGACTTACAGTTAGTGAGTGCATACATTATTATATTTTTTATTTTTTTCATACTGGCCCCCCATGGGAATCGAACCCACAACCCTGCCGGCCATTCCCTCCCCTACCCTGGACGACGCTGGGCCAATTGTGCGCCGCCCCATGGGTCTCCCGGTCGTGGCCGGCTACGACAGAGCCTGGATTCGAACCAGGATCTCTAGTGGCACAGTTAGCACTGCGATGCAGTGCCTTAGACCACTGCGCCACAAGGCTTTCATAGATCTATTCACATGGCAAGGCTTTCCTAGATCTAGGAAAGCCTTGCCATGTGAATAGATCTAGGAAAGCCTTGCCATGTGACTAGATCTAGGAAAGCCTTGCCATGTGAATAGATCTATGAAAGCCTTGCCATGTGAATAGATCTAGGAAAGCCTTGCCATGTGAATAGATCTAGGAAAGCCTTGCCATGTGACTAGATCTAGGAAAGCCTTGCCATGTGAATAGATCTAGGAAAGCCTTGCCATGTGAATAGATCTAGGAAGGCCTTGCCATGTGACTAGATCTAGGAAAGCCTTGCCATGTGAATAGATCTAGGAAAGCCTTGCCATGTGAATAGATCTAGGAAAGCCTTGCCATGTGAATAGATCTAGGAAAGCCTTGCCATGTGAATAGATCTAGGAAAGCCTTGCCATGTGAATAGATCTAGGAAAGCCTTGCCATGTGACTAGATCTAGGAAAGCCTTGCCATGTGACTAGATCTAGGAAAGCCTTGCCATGTGACTAGATCTAGGAAAGCCTTGCCATGTGAATAGATCTAGGAAAGCCTTGCCATGTGAATAGATCTAGGAAAGCCTTGCCATGTGAATAGATCTAGGAAAGCCTTGCCATGTGACTAGATCTAGGAAAGCCTTGCCATGTGACTAGATCTAGGAAAGCCTTGCCATGTGAATAGATCTAGGAAAGCCTTGCCATGTGAATAGATCTAGGAAAGCCTTGCCATGTGAATAGATCTAGGAAAGCCTTGCCATGTGAATAGATCTAGGAAAGCCTTGCCATGTGACTAGATCTAGGAAAGCCTTGCCATGTGACTAGATCTAGGAAAGCCTTGCCATGTGACTAGATCTAGGAAAGCCTTGCCATGTGAATAGATCTAGGAAAGCCTTGCCATGTGAATAGATCTAGGAAAGCCTTGCCATGTGACTAGATCTATGAAAGCCTTGCCATGTGACTAGATCTAGGAAAGCCTTGCCATGTGAATAGATCTATGAAAGCCTTGCCATGTGAATAGATCTAGGAAAGCCTTGCCATGTGACTAGATCTATGAAAGCCTTGCCATGTGACTAGATCTAGGAAAGCCTTGCCATGTGAATAGATCTATGAAAGCCTTGCCATGTGACTAGATCTAGGAAAGCCTTGCCATGTGACTAGATCTAGGAAAGCCTTGCCATGTGACTAGATCTAGGAAAGCCTTGCCATGTGACTAGATCTAGGAAAGCCTTGCCATGTGAATAGATCTAGGAAAGCCTTGCCATGTGACTAGATCTAGGAAAGCCTTGCCATGTGACTAGATCTAGGAAAGCCTTGCCATGTGACTAGATCTAGGAAAGCCTTGCCATGTGACTAGATCTAGGAAAGCCTTGCCATGTGACTAGATCTAGGAAAGCCTTGCCATGTGACTAGATCTAGGAAAGCCTTGCCATGTGACTAGATCTAGGAAAGCCTTGCCATGTGACTAGATCTAGGAAAGCCTTGCCATGTGAATAGATCTAGGAAAGCCTTGCCATGTGACTAGATCTAGGAAAGCCTTGCCATGTGACTAGATCTAGGAAAGCCTTGCCATGTGACTAGATCTAGGAAAGCCTTGCCATGTGACTAGATCTAGGAAAGCCTTGCCATGTGACTAGATCTAGGAAAGCCTTGCCATGTGACTAGATCTAGGAAAGCCTTGCCATGTGAATAGATCTAGGAAAGCCTTGCCATGTGACTAGATCTAGGAAAGCCTTGCCATGTGAATTAGAGAACATTGTTTCAGATACAACACACAGTCTATGATTTTGTTTCTCCAGTGTTCTGTTTTTGATGATGAAATCATGAAGGAGCGATAGTTTCATGGTGGTTCTGTTTTTGTATTTCAGCAAAATGCTACAGATGATGGAGACTATGTGTTTCTGACCGGTCAACAGAGTTACAAGGACTTTGCCATTATAGATCAGTGGAAGGGTCAAAGGTAAGGGTTCTATAGAACATTCCACCACATACTATGTTATAAACATATAAATACAATGCTTTTAGGCCTCCTATTGTCAATAAATTCAAACAAATTTAATCTGTAATCTAATTGTTCGGTTTGTGTAACTGATATAATTTAGATGGGTGTTTTTCTGTTTCAATATTATCTTCGCCTCGTTAAACCAACCTAATCTCACATTCTGTTTTACTTAAGGTGGATATTATCTAGATTTCACAGAAGGCGAATACAGTCAGAACCCATTTTGAAGTGGTAGCAATGGTATAACAGCGATAACGATGTGTGTTCTCTCTGTTTGCAGCTCTCTGAATTGGTGGACCACAGATGAGTGTAACATGATCAATGGAACCAATGGGGCCTCCTTTCATCCAATCATCACCAAGAACGAGACCCTCTACATGTTTTCCTCTGACCTCTGCAGGTTGGTTTGGGTCCAAACTCCCATGTGTCTCTGTGTCATGGGAGCTTCCTCTACCATTACATCCTTAGCGTCATGTGACAGTTTTTTTTCAGCGTTTGTCATCACGTGTTACTATTATTTAGCCCGTTTTGGAAGTCAAAATACATTTCACTAAAATGTATGCGTTGAGTATAGGGCTGTTGCGTTGACCGTATTACCGGCAGTCACGAGTCATGGCCGCAGTCAAATTCCACGTGACCATTTAGTAATTAGTCTTCTCCAAGCTCTGATGCTACTGATGGTCATTAGTAGCCTACCAAACTTGCTAACTGCATGATGCTGCCACCACCATGCTTCACCGTAGGGATGGTGCCAGGTTTCCGCCAGACGTGACGCTTGGCATTCCGGCCAAAGAGTTCAATCTTGGTTTCATCAGACCAGAGAATCTTGTTTCTCATGGTCTGAGAGTCCTTTAGGTGCCTTTTGGCAAACTCCAAGGGTGCTGTCATGTGCTTTTTACTGAGGCGTGGCTTCCGTCTGGCCACTCTACAATAAAGGCCTGATTGGTGGAGTGCTGCAGAGATGGTTGTCCTTCTGGAAGGTTCTCTCATCTCCACAGAGGAACTCTGGAGCTCTGTCAGAGTGACCATCGGGTTCTTGGTCACCTCTCTGACCAAGGCCCTTCTCCCCTGATTGCTCAGTTTGGCCGGGCTGCCAGCACTAGGAAGAATCTTGGTGGTTCCAAACGTCTTCCATTTAAGAATGATGGAGGCCACTGTGTTCTTGGGGGGCCCTCAATCCTTCCCCAGATCTGTGCCTCGACACAATCCTGTCCTGGAGCTCTCTGACAATTCCTTCGACCTCATGGCTTGGTTTTTGCTCTAAACATGCACTGTCAACTGTGGGACCTTATATAGACAGGTGTGTGCCTTTCCAAATCATGTCCAATCAATTGAATTGACCACAGGTGGACTCCAATCAAGTTGTAGAAACATCACAAGGATGATCAATGTTAACAGGATGCACCTGAGCTCAATTTGGAGTCTCATAGCAAAGGGTCTGAATACTTATGTAAATAAGCTATTTCTGTTATTATTTTTTACAAGTTTGCCAACATTTCTAAAAACTTGTTTTCGCTATGTCATTATGGAGTATTGTGTGTAGATTGAGGAAAATTTTTTATTTAATCAATTTTAGAATAAGGCTGTAACGTAACAAAATGTGTAAAAGGTCAAGGGGTCTTTAGTACTTTCCGCACTCCATCAAATTGTTTGGAAAAAATATCCTTTCTATTTTATTCAGCTATGTTCAAATTGTATTCTTCATACTATAAAATAATGCCACGGAATTCTAAGCACATCTTGTCTGCTATCACATTCCAAGATGGAGAGGTCCCACTGTAATTGCAGAACCCAGAACAAAATCTTGCATGCGTTGGCTAGCTTGCTACTCCATTTGTTTTTTTGAACATTTTATGTATCTTGTCTTTCACAATAGATTTATCTAACCCTTTTCCTTCTCCGTTCCTTGGTCCTCTTTGTCAGATCTATCTATGCCATCTATGAGGAGGAGAGCATTGTGATGGGTGTCCCAGCTTACAGGTTCTCTCCACCCAGCAATGTGTTTGCCAACACAACAGAGAACGCTGGGTTCTGTTCCCCAGCAGGGAACTGTCTGGGCTCTGGCGTGCTCCAAGTCAGTGCCTGCAAACAAGGTAATAATAATATCAGATATTTTCTATTTTATTTCCAATATTTGATATATGCCACTTGGCACTCAATTTTATACAAACGTTGAGTGCATACATTTTTATGTGATCCCTGCTGGAGTTGAACCCACAACCTTGGCGGTACTAGTCAATGCCAACTGAGCCGCTCTAGCCAGGACTGTAGCCATATGGTTTCAAAACATAATCTGTCTGAGGTCCATTATCAACTCAATGAGGGGGAAAAAAATACATTTCATTAATCTCATATTTCACATCCTAGATGCTCCGATTGTCATGTCTTCTCCACACTTCTACCAGGCAGATGAGAAGTTTGTCAAAGACGTCTTCGGCATGAAACCTAACAAGAAGCAACACGAGACCATCATCGATATCAACCCGGTATGTAAACTGAACAAAAAATATAAATGCAACAATTTCAAAGATTTTACTGAGTTTTACAGTTCCTATAAAGAAATCAGTCAGAACATAGGCCCTAATTTATCGATTTTCACATGAATGGGAATACAGATATGAATCTGTTGGTCACAGATACCTTCTTTTTTTTTTAAGTAGGGGCGTGGATCAAAAAACCAGTCAGTATCTGGTGTGACCACCATTTTGCTTCATGCAGCGCGACACATCTCCTTCACATAGAGTTGATCAGGCTGTTGATTGTGGCCTGTGGAATGTTGTCCCACTCCTCTTCAATGGCTGTGCGAAGTTGCTGGATATTGACGGGAACTGGAACACGCTGTTGTACACGTGAATCCAGAGCCTCCCAAACATGCTCAATTTTTTATTTTTTTTTATTTATTTCACCTTTATTTAACCAGGTAAGCCAGTTGAGAACAAGTTCTCATTTACAACTGCGACCTGGCCAAGATAAAGCAAAGCAGTGCGATTAAAAACAACAACACAGAGTTACATATGGGGTAAAAAAAAACAAAGTAAAAAAATACAACAGAAAATATATATACAGTGTGTGCAAATGTAGCAAGTTATGGAGGTAAGGCAATAAATAGGCTATAGTGCAAAATAATTAGAATTAGTATTAACACTGGAATGCTAGATGTGCAAGAGATTATGTGCAAATAGAGATGCTGGGGTGCAAAAGAGCAAAATAAATAACAATATAGGGATGAGGTAGTTGGGTGGGCTAATTTCAGATGGGCTGTGTACAGGTGCAGTGATCGGTAAGGTGCTCTGACAACTGATGCTTAAAGTTAGTGAGGGAGATAAGAGTCTCCAGCTTCAGAGATTTTTGCAATTCGTTCCAGTCATTGGCAGCAGAGAACTGGAAGGAATGGCGGCCAAAGGAGGTGTTGGCTTTGGGAATGACCAGTGAGATATACCTGCTGGAGCGCAGACTACGGGTGGGTGCTGCTATGGTGACCAATGAGCTAAGATAAGGCGGGGATTTGCCTAGCAGTGATTTATAGATGGCCTGGAGCCAGTGGGTTTGACGACGAACATGTAGTGAGGACCAGCCAACAAGAGCGTACAGGTCACAGTGGTGGGTAGTGTATGGGGCTTTGGAGACAACTGATGGCACTGTGATAGACTACATCCAATTTGCTGAGTAGAGTGTTGGAGGCTATTTTGTAAATGACATCGCCGAAGTCAAGGATCGGTAGGATAGTCAGTTTTACGAGGGCATGTTTGGCAGCATGAGTGAAGGAGGCTTTGTTGCGAAATAGGAAGCCGATTCTAGATTTAACTTTGGATTGGAGATTCTTAATGTGAGTCTGGAAGGAGAGTTTACAGTCTAACCAGACACCTAGGTATTTGTAGTTGTCCACATACTCTAGGTCGGACCCGTCGAGAGTGGTGATTCTAGTCGGGTGGGCGGGTGCCAGCAGCGTTCGATTGAAGAGCATGCATTTAGTTTTACTAGTGTTTAAGAGCAGTTGGAGGCTACTGAAGGAGTGTTGTATGGCATTGAAGCTCGTTTGGAGGTTTGTTAACACAGTGTCCAATGAAGGGCCAGATGTATACAAAATGGTGTCGTCTGCGTAGAGGTGGATCTGAGAGTCACCAGCAGCAAGAGCGACATCATTGATATACACAGAGAAAAGAGGCGCCCAAGAATTGAACCCTGTGGCACCCCCATAGAGACTGCCATAGGTCCAGACAACAGGCCCTCCGATTTGACACACTGAACTCTATCTGAGAAGTAGTTGGTGAACCAGGCGAGGCAGTCATTTGAGAAACCAAGGCTATTTAGTCTGCCAATAAGAATGCGGTGGTTGACAGAGTCGAAAGCCTTGGCCAGGTTGATGAAGACGGCTGCACAGTACTGTCTATTATCGATCGCGGTTATAATATCGTTTAGGACCTTGAGCGTGGCTGAAGTGCACCCATGACCAGCTCGGAAACCGGATTGCATAGCGGAGAAGGTACGGTGGGATTCGAAATGGTCGGTGATCTGTTTGTTAACTTGGCTTTCAAATACTTTCGAAAGGCAGGGCAGGATGGATATAGGTCTGTAACAGTTTGGATCTAGAGTGTCACCCCCTTTGAAGAGGGGGATGACCGCGGCAGCTTTCCAATCTCTGGGGATCTCAGACGTTACGAAAGAGAGGTTGAACAGACTAGTAATAGGGGTTGCGACAATTTCGGCGGCTAGTTTTAGAAAGAAAGGGTCCAGATTGTCTAGCCCAGCTGATTTGTAGGGGTCCAGATTTTGCAGCTCTTTTAGAACATCAGCTGTCTGAATTTGTGTGAAGGAGAAGCGGGGGGGGGGGCATGGGCAAGTTGCAGCGGAGGGTGCAGAGTTGGTGGCCGGGGTAGTGGTAGCCAGGTGGAAAGCATGGCCAGCCGTAGCAAAATGCTTGTTGAAATTCTCGATTATTGTAGATTTATCGGTGGTGATAGTGTTTCCTAGCCTCAGTGCAGTGGGCAGCTGGGAGGAAGTGCTCTTATTCTCCATGGACTTTACAGTGTCCCAAAACTTTTTGGAGTTAGTGCTACAGGATGCAAATTTCTGTTTGAAAAAGTTAGCCTTTGCTTTCCTGACTGCTTGTGTATATTGGTTCCTAACTTCCCTGAAAAGTTGCATATCGCGGGGGCTATTTGATGCTAATGCAGTACGCCACAGGATGTTTTTGTGCTGGTCAAGGGCAGTCAAGTCTGAGGAGAACCAGGGGCTATATCTGTTCTTAGTTCTGTATTTTTTGAATGGGGCATGTTTATTTAAGATTGAGAGGAAATTACTTTTAAAGAACAACCAGGCATCCTCTACTGACGGAATGAGATCTATATCCATCCAGGATACCTGGGCCAGGTCAATTAGGAAGGCCTGCTCGCTAAAGTGTTTTAGGGAGCGTTTGACAGTGATGAGGGGTGGTCGTTTGACCGCGGACCCGTTACGGACGCAGGCAATAAGGCAGTGATCGCTGAGATCCTGGTTGAAGACAGCGGAGGTGTATTTAGAGGGTAAGTTAGTCAGGATGATATCTATGAGGGTGCCCATGTTTACGGATTTAGGGTTGTACCTGGTAGGTTCGTGATAATTTGCGTGAGATTGAGGGCATCTAGTTTGGATTGTAGGATGGCCGGGGTATTAAGCATATCCCAATTTAGGTCACCAAGCAGTACGAACTCTGAGGATAAATGGGGGGCAATCAATTCACATATGGTGTCCAGGGCACAGCTGGGGGCTGAGGGGGGTCTGTAGCAAGCGGCAACAGTGAGAGACTTATTTCTGGAAAGGTGGATTTTTAGAAGTAGAAGCTCAAACTGTTTGGGCACAGACCTGGATAGTATGATAGAGCTCTGCAGGCTATCTCTACAGTAGATTGCAACTCCACCCCCTTTGGCAGTTCTATCTAGATGGAAAATGTTATAGTTGGGGATGGATGACATGTCTGGTGAGTTTGCAGGCCATGGAAGGACTGGGACATTTTCAGCTTCCAGGAATTGTGTACAGATCCTTGCGACATGGGGCCGTGCATTATCATGCTGAAACATGAGGTGATGAATGGCACGACAATGAGCCTCAGGATCTCGTCACGGTAACTCTGTGCATTCAAATTGCCAACAATAAAATGCAATTGTGTTTGTTGTCCATAGCTTATGCCTGCCCATACCATAACCCCACCGCCACCATAGGGGACTCTGTTCACAACGTTGACATCAGCAAACCGCTCGCCCACACTTCTGTCATCTGCCCAGTACAGTTGAAACCAGGATTCATCCGTGGAGGGCACACTTCTCCAGCGTGCCAGTGGCCATCGAAGTTGAGCATTTGCCCACTGAAATCGGTTATGACGCCAAACTGCAGTCAGGTCAAGACCCTGGTGAGGACGACGAGCATGCAGATGAGCTTCCCTGAGACGGTTTCTGACAGTTTGTGCAGAAATTCTTCGCTTGTGCAAACCCACAGTTTCATCAGATGTCTGAGTGGCTGGTCTCAGACGATCCCGCAGGGGAAGAAGCCGGATGTGGAAGACCAGGGCTGGCGTGGTTACACGTGATCTGTGTTTGAGGCCAGTTGGATGTACTGCCAAATTCTCTAAAATGACGTTGGAGGTGGCTTATGGTAGAGAAATGAACATTCAATTCTCTGGCAACAGCTCTGATGGACATTCCTGCTGTCAGCATGCCAATTGAATGCTCCCTCAAAACTTGAGACATCTGTGGCATTGTGTTGTGTGACAAAACTGCACATTTTAGAGTGGCCTTTTATTGTCCTGTGTAATGATCTTGCTGTTTAATCAGCTTCTTGATATGCCACACCTGTCATGTGGATGGATTATCTTGGCAAAGGAGAAATGCTCATTAACAGGGACGTGCACAGAATTTGAGAGAAATAAGCTTTTTGTGCACATTGAGAAATTCTGGGATCTTTTATTTTCAGCTCATGAAACATGGGACCAACACTTTACATGTTGAGTTTATATTTTTGTTCAGTATATGACCTTTTGCCTATATAGTACCTTTTCTCTGGCTTCAGCATGTTGTTTTCAGATTGACCACTTGAGGGGGCACTATTACCACTTTAGAAGAACAGGTCAAAACTGTTGACTTTCACAGAGTGTTTTATTTTGGGTGTTACAAGGATAATGTTTTACTATGGAAGAAGGATAATCTCACTAATTCACACAAAGCGCACACACTATGATGCTCAGGAGACAAATGACAGAAAACATTAACAGCTGCAAATATATGTGGAGTGGTCCATCATGCCAGCATTACAGTAAATAGTCAATATCACTTTGATCAAGACCGTGTCAAGCTTTTGAACTGTTTTTGAACTGAGTTTTCAAGTAGCAGATCCTAAAACCCAGGGTTGTATTCATTAGGCACCAAACTGAAGAAGAAAAAAATGATGGAAACAGGAAAAGCTTGGTCTTAGTTTGCCATCGCAAAACGTTTTGCTACGGTGTGCACTAATGAACACGACCCAGGGCTCCTCCTGAGGCTGGGGCCAGTCTGAGGCAGTGTGTATGAAGTCCTTCTTGTTGATAAGCCGTTATTTATAGCTGTTTGTGGTGCAGTTGGAGTGGCTCAGTACCAGGCATAGAGACACTAAAGATAAGAGGCTGTAGACTTTTAGGTCACTGGCCTAACGCTTTAACCACTAGGCTACCAGCCACCCACATCATATAGAAAACATTACATCACTAAAGACATTGTGCACTATACAAATGTACACTATAAAATGTGCAATGCTACAATAATTGTGTGTGTGTGTGTGTTTCAAGTTTCAAAGTGTATTCGCCACGTACACAGGATACAACAGGTGTAAAACAGTACAGTAAAATTCTTACCTTGAGAGCTCTTACCCAACAATGCAGTGGTGGTGGTAATAATAATAATAATAATAATAATAATAATAGAAAATATAATTAAAAATAAAGTAAGAATTAAAACCACACAAGAACTATGATGAGAGTTAAAGAAACAGGAGAATGCAAGTATATACAGGTCTGTGCCAGTACCTTATTCAACGTGCAGGGATACTGGAGTGGTTGAGGTGGGTTTATACATCGAAAGTGACTGGTAGTAGGATATACATGTAAACAGGACTGAAAAGTGACTGGTAGCAGGAATATATAAATACTTACGGTAATATACTAATGGTAATATATACACATGTAAACAGGAGTAACAGTGAATATTAATAGGATAAATAGATAGATACTAATGTAATGGCAATCGATAATCAATGGACAGCAGCATAATGGAGTAATACATCTAATCAATAATCCATTTTAGCAGCAGCGTCGGTTGTGTCTGAGTGGGTAGAGACCTGTGGATGGGCACAGAGTCAGATGGCTCAGAGTTACCTGATGTGGAAGAGTTCCATGTAGTCAGTGCCTTGCAAAAGTATTCATCCCCCTTGGTGTTTTTCCTATTTTGTTGCATTACAACCTGTAATTTAAATGGATTTTCATTTGGATTTCATGTAATGGACATACACAAAATAGTCCAAATTGGTGAAGTGAAATTAAAAAAATAACTTGTTTAAAAAAAATCTAAAAAATAAATAACGGAAAAGTGGCGCGTGCATATGTATTCAGCCCCTTTGCTATGAAGCCCCTAAATAAGATATGGTGCAACCAATTTCCTTCAGAAGTCACATAATTAGTTAGATTGCACACAGGTGGACTATTTAAGTGTCACATGATCTGTCACATGATCTCAGTATATATACACCTGTTCTGAAAGGCCCCAGAGTCTGCAACACCACTAAGCAAGGGGCACCACCAAGCAAGCGGCACCATGAAGACCAAGGAGCTCTCCAAACAGGTCAGGGACAAAGTTGTGGAGAAGTACAGATCAGGGTTGGGTTAAAAATAAATATCCGAAAATTCGAACATCCCACGGAGCACCATTTAAATCCATTATTAAAAAATTGAAAGAATATGGCACCACAACAAACCTGCCAAAAGAGGGCCGCCCACCAAAACTCATGGACCAGGCAAGGAAGGCATTAATCAGAAGCAACAAAGAGACCAAAGATAACCCTGAAGGAGCTGCAAAGCTCCACAGCGGAGATTGGAGTATCTGTCCATAGGACCACTTTAAGACGTACACTCCACAGAGCTGGGCTTTACGGAAGAGTGGCCAGAAAAAAGCCATTGCTTAAAGGAAAAATAAGCAAACACGTTTGGTGTTCGCCAAAAGGCATGTGGGAGACTCCCCAAACATATGGAAGAAGGTACTCTGGTCAGATGAGACTAAAATTGAGCTTTTTGGCCATCAAGGAAAACACTATGTCTGGCGCAAACCCAACACTTCATCACCCCGAGAACACCACCCCCACAATGAAGCATGGTGGTGGCAGCATCATGCTGTGGGTATGTTTTTCATCGGCAGGGACTGGGAAACTGGTCAGAATTTAAGGAATGATGGAAGGCGCTAAATACAGGGAAATTCTTGAGGGAAACCTGTTTCAGTCTTCCAGATATTTGAGACTGGGGCGGAGGTTCACCTTCCAGCAGGACAATGACCCTAAGCATACTGCTAAAGCAACACTCAAGTGGTTTAAGGGGAAACAGTTAAATGTCTTGGAATGGCCTAGTCAAAGCCCAGACCTCAATCCAATTGAGAATCTGTGGTGACTTAAAGATTGCTGTACACCAGCAGAACCCATCCAACTTGAAGGAGCTGGAGCAGTTCTACCTTGAAGAATGGGCTAAAATCCCAGTGGCTAGATGTTCCAAGCTTATAGAGACATACCCCAAGAGACTTGCAGCTGTAATTGCTGCAGAAGGTGGCTCTACAAAGTATATTCACGCTCAGGTTTTCTGTTTGTTTTGTCTTATTTCTTGTTTGTTTCACAATAAAACATATTTTGCATCTTCAAAGTGGTAGGCATGTTGTGTAAATCAAATGATACAAACCCCCAAAAAATCATTTTAATTCCAGGTTGTAAGGCAACAAAATAGGAAAAATGCCAAGGGGGGTGAATACTTTCGCAAGCCACTGTAGTTCTGTGTTTTTCCCAGCCTCTGTTCTGGACTTAGGGACTGTGAAGAGACCCCTGGTGGCATGTCTTGTGGGAGCTGTGTGTTAGCTGTTTGAACAGACAGTTTGGTGATTTCAACACGTCAATACCTCTCACAATTGCCACATTATTCATTACAAGATTTAGATGAGGTTTACGGTTTACCGGGGGATTTTTATTTATTTATAAATATAACGCTTATAGTTTTGAAATACACTACATGACCAAAAGTGTGTGGAAACATGCTTGTCGAACATCTCATTCCAAAATCATGAGCATTAAAATGGAGTTGGTCCCCCCTTTGCTGCTATAACAGCCTCCACTCTTCTGGGAAGGCTTTCCTCTAGATGTTGGAACTTTGCTGCGGGGACTTGCTTCCATTCAGCCACAAGCATTAGTGAGGTCGAGGCACTGATGTTTGGCGATTAGGCCTGGCTTGCAGTCGGCGTTCCAATTCATCCCAAAGGTGATTGATGGGGTTGAGGTCAGGGCTCAGAGCTCTGGGCCGGACAGTCAAGTTCTTCCACACCGATCTCGACAAACCATTTCTGCATGGACCTCACTTTGTGTACGGGGGGGGGGGGGGGCATTGTCATGCTGAGACAGGAAAGGGACTTCCCCAAACTGTTGCCACAAAGTTGGAAGCACAGAATCGTCTTGAATGTCATTTTACAGTTTCTTATTTTTGTTTAGTCACAATTTCTCAATTTACAGTTCGTTTGCCAGTCGGCTGTGCAGCCAAACTTATTTGTCATTTATTTTCCCTCGTCCCTCTCAACCATAAAATGTTTCTAATACTCATCAATCGACAGGGATTTAGCATTTCTAACAGTCAGTTTCTTAATAGGTGCATGCTTATCAATAACTGGAAGAAACAATTTCATAAATGTGCCAAGTATTACGTCTGGTTGGTCCTCACTACACACAATAGACCAGCAAATATTCTTGAAGATGTAAACATAGGAATCGCTACAGAACCTCTTGTATGATCTCTCTTACACTATATATTAGGCCCAGCCTTTGGAACTTTGGTTTTCCTAGATATGGCTACTATATTATGATCACTACATCCGATGGGTGTGGATACTGCTTTAGAGCAGACTTCTGCAGCATTAGTAAAGATGTGACCAATACATGTGGATGATTTCATTCATGTGCTGTTTGTAAATACCCTGGTAGGTTGACCGATAACCTGAACCAGATTGCATGCACTGGTTACAGTTTTGAAGCTTCTTCTTGAGTGGATAGCTTGGTGATACCCAGTCAATATTTAGGTCACCCAGAAAATATACCACTGTTGATATAACATACGTTATCAAGCATTTCACACACATTATCCAGATACTGACTGTTAGCATTCAGTGGTCTATAGAATAGGCAACCTGAGAAGTAGTAATAATTCATAACGATTTGTTTCCACAGCTTACAGGCATCGTACTTCAGGCTGCTAAGAGACTTCAAGTGAACGTGTTCGTTGAGAAGATTCCTGTGTTTAGGTAAGCAAAGACTTTTTGTAATTAATAAAGTGGCTACTTTTCTTTTTAAATTGACAATTCTGTGAACTGTCTTGTGCAAGTTTTAAATTGACACAATACCTGTTAGCAAAGGTGTCAGCTAGAGATGACGTGCAGGAGCTTGCAGGGATTTGTAGTTTTGTATGATGTCTACTTTGATGCTAATTAGCATTTTTTAATCTGAGAGTAAACAGAGCCGATTTATATTGATAAAAGTCACCTTATCATGGTTATCAAAACGTCACGCCAGGGTAACAGACCTTATTTTAAGTGTTTCTAGAAATTCCCTATGGGGAAAAATGAATGGTGGAAAAACGATTGAAACCATTTCCATGTTTGACCGCTAGGTTTTATCGGTATTGTGACACCTCCACTGTGGGGCCTTATAGAAGGAAGCCTATAGGGGTGTAACGGTTCACCAAACCCATGGTTCGGTACATAATTGCGGTTTTGGTACAGAGGGGAAATTAAATGTTCAGCGTTCACAATGTTCCTTGCTTTGTCTGTTGTGAACGGATTGTTATGTTGGGCCTCAGGTTTCCACTCTGACGCTGCGTTTATAACCATGTGTGTTTCCAGTTGAGAAGTCGTCAATACCATTTGGATGCATTCATGTGATTTGAACTCGTTGAGAAACGCTGATTGGCTAATGGCCAACCATAAACTAAAAGTACAGCTATCATATGCTTGTAAACAAATTATAGAGTTCAAAAACCACATTAATAGATTGCTTTTTATAAAATGATGTTTTGTTGCATTTAACTGCTGAGAATTCTGTTATAAAGGCCATTTTCCTTAGTAGGTGACATCCGAGGTCACCATGTGGGATAAGTGGGTGCTCAGGATGATAGATGAGTTTACCAGTAGTAATTAGCAGTTTGAGGGCCATTTCAAGTGGATTTTCCCCAGTCTTACGTGGTAAATTCCCATTTCCTACTTTGTTACGAAAGCACCTCCTTCAGGGCCAGATGCGCACTTGTGACGTGTCTTTAGCACGGTACATTGACTGCTTTGATTTGTTTATATAGGGCGGGTACTACCTGTTTGCTGAAATGGGTGCAAGAGGGAAGTTCGTAACGTCGCTCGAGCACTTTCACAAGGTGCTGAAACCCCCAAAAATGGGCGCATATCCGTGGCAATAAACCAAAAACTATAAAAAAATATATATATAAACATAGCCTACCTATTGCTCTTGTAATTTCTTTGGCCCAGTCAGAATCAGTTGCCAAGGGCTGCTTGAACGCAGAGGGGAGACGATGTTGTTTCTTTGCGTTTCTGTCTCGCTCTGGTATACTGGGGTGATGTCGGCGTAAATGTGTCAACTTGAGGTGTTGGCAGCTGCATAGGCTATTCTCATTTTTACATTTTACATTTACATTTTAGTCATTTAGCAGACGCTCTTATCCAGAGCGACTTACAGTTAGTGAATACATATTTTTTTATACTGGCCCCCCGTGGGAATCGAACCCACAACCCTGGCGTTGCAAACGCCATGCTCTATCAACTGAGCTACATCCCTGACGGTCATTCCCTCCCCTACCCTGGACGACGCTGGGCCAATTGTGCGCCGCCCATGAGTCTCCCGGTCGCGGCCGGCTGCGACAGAGCCTGGATTCGAACCAGGATCTCTAGTGGCACAGTTAGCACTGCGATGCAGTGCCTTAGACCACTGCGCCACTCAGGAGTACATTCTCGTTGTGCGTGGCGACATACTGTTAACGTTTTATCCACAACACTGTCCATCGCCGTTGTAATCTACTGGGAAGCCAACATTTTCCCAAACTGGAGATTTAAACGATGATGAAGGATCCTCCAATTCTGGTTTATCGACCACATCCCATCTTACAGAACTAGTTCCCGGCTGCGCCTCACAAAAGGACGGTTTGAAATGCACCAGTTAAGATTATAATTTTGATTACAACGTGAGCATAGGCTCTAGTTCAGGGGTCAACTAGATTCAGCCGTGGGACTATTTGTTTCTTGAGCGGATGGTCAGCGGGCCGGAACATAATTACAAATCATTTGTAGACAGCAAATTGGCCGCAAGAAGCCCAAACAGATATAATATTTTACTAAAACATAATAATGTCAAACCGTGCTTACATTTGCATACAATCACAAACAGTACGTCTCTCTCTTATGCGTGGGAATAGTTAGGAACAGATTTCCAAAACGGAAAATCACTTGGAGCTTATTTGTTGGTGTTTTTACAATCTTTTATGTCCAACAATGAAACATTTTTTTAAATAAAATGACCTGCGGGCCGCCAGTTGGGGAAACCTGCGGTAGTTGTTTTAACGGAATAGCCTGGAATGTTTGTTTTTTTAGCTCAGATTTACTCAAAAGGGCATAGGCCTACAACTCAGTGTAGGCAGAGCCTATTGACCTTTGTTTCATTTTGTAAATATAATTATTTGATGTATTCAATGGGGTTCGCAGTGAGGACCGTACAGTGGTCCAGTACTGAATACCCATAGAAACCTGCTATCTCAGCGTTCTGAACAGCGTTTGTGATCCCTGCTGTTTATGAGATATAATCGCCTGTAAGATGAGAAACAGTTTAATGACATGGTCCGGTACTTTCGCGACTAAAAGTATTTTTTAAACCTACGGCTTTGGGCTGGATGTGTCCAATGTGTATTTCATACATGCATAATCTATGAGCAGAATTACTGGCTTGAAGCTGTGCCGTACAATTTTCTCTACATTTCCACGTGGCCCAGCCCCCTTGCAAATTGAGTTCTAGCCAATGAACTTCAGCCCCTCTAATTTGAGTGACAGCTAGCAAGAGGCCTGTCCAGCGTTATCCAATGAGGTTACAGGGCGGGCCCAACGGAGGGAGAGAGAGAGAGAGAGAGACGTGACGTAGTATGCAATTTTCAGGGACCACTTTTGGCTTCTTTCAGAACTACTGGCTAAAAAGTATACAAAAGTAGCAGAGAATCTCTTTAATTATGAAGTATTCCTAATAATCTATTCTCAGCTCTGTTTATCTTTGTAGAGAGAGAAGTGAAACTTGTCTGGCAGAGGTCGTCCTCAGCTGCTGTGGCCAAACTTAGTGATCAGTTACACTGTTTAAACACACCTAGTTAGCTAGCTACAGCTGATTCTGTGGGCGCGGCAGCAGTGTGTGTGTGTGTGTGTGTGTTCTTGCCAAGTGCAGTTGATGCAACAGATAGACTTTTGATAGAGGAGAGAGTGAGGAAGTAAATATATCCCAGATTACGTGACAGTGTTGGAAACTATTGACTCCAGCCTCCCAACGTACAAGAAACAACAGGATGTTTTAAATGCCATATTAGTAGAAAATGATGAGCGACATGACCCCAATTTGACCCCAGAAAGACCGCAAAGGAACCTGCAAGGTAGCGTTTAGTTGTACATTTGTATACCATGTGTATCCTGTACATACGAAACTAGATTTTAACATTGAGCATGACTGGAAGATCTGTGGTTGCGATTTGCGCTACCGGGATATGATTAAACCAACTGCCGCCTTAGTGAGGTGGTGGTTTCTCTTTGAGTATGAGCTAACACCCCCCCCCCCCCCCACCTATTGACTGTGTATAGATAAGTCACGTATGCATACCAGAAAGCATACTCAACATTTTAACAAGATGTGGGGTCAGAATATTAGACCCTGGCTGAGTGATGTAGTTTTATTCAAGCAGCCTAAATATTAGACCCTGGCTGAGTGATGTAGTTTTATTCAAGCAGCCTAAATATTAGACCCTGGCTGAGTGATGTAGTTTTATTCAAGCAGCCTAAATATTAGACCCTGGCTGAGTGATGTAGTTTTATTCAAACCTTTTGAGATGTAGCCTAAATATTAGACCCTGGCTGAGTGATGTAGTTTTATTCTAACCTTTTGAGATGTAGCCTAAATATTAGACCCTGGCTGAGTGATGTAGTTTTTATTCAAACCTTTTGAGATGTAGCCTAAATATTAGACCCTGGCTGAGTGATGTAGTTTTTATTCAAACCTTTTGAGATGTAGCCTAAATATTAGACCCTGGCTGAGTGATGTAGTTTTTATTCAAACCTTTTGAGATGTAGCCTAAATATTAGACCCTGGCTGAGTGATGTAGTTTTTATTCAAGCAGCCTAAATATTAGACCATGGCTGAGTGATGTAGTTTTACATTTTAGTCATTTAGCAGACGCTCTTATCCAGAGCGACTTACAGTTAGTGAATACATATTTTTTTATACTTGCCCCCCGTGGGAATCAAACCCACAACCCTGGCGTTGCAAACGCCATGCTCTATCAACTGAGCTACATTCCCTCCCCTACCCTGCCGGCCATTCCCTCCCCTACCCTGGACGACGCTGGGCCAATTGTGCGCCGCCCATGAGTCTCCCGGTCGCGGCCGGCTGCGACAGAGCCTGGATTCGAACCAGGATCTCTAGTGGCACAGTTAGCACTGCGATGCAGTGCCTTAGACCACTGCGCCACTCAGGAGTTTTATTCAAGCAGCCTAAATATTAGACCATGGCTGAGTGATGTAGTTTTATTCAAGCAGCCCAAATATTAAAGATGCACTATGCAGAAATGTGTGGTCCTCTGTAGCTCAGCTGGTAGAGCACGGCGCTTATAACGTCAAGGTAGTGGGTTCGATCCCCGGGACCATCCATACACAAAAATGTATGCACGCATGACTGTAAGTCGCTTTGGATAAAAGCGTCTGCTAAATGGCATATTATTATTATTTATTATTAAATTGCTCCGCCATTTCCTGGTTGCTACAATTCTAATAGTTTGCCGAATTTCAGTTTGTGACAAAACAAGCAAGTATAGTGTAGAGAATCATTGTATCATCGAAACCGCTGTGAAATATATTTTCCATAACTAAAATTATTGTATTTTCAGCAGTTTGAAGCTCGTGCACAAAACCGAAAGTAAAAAAATTAAAAAATAATTAAGAACAGGAAGCATAGAAATAGCGCACATAGAACAGATCTACCGCTTCTTAGACTTGCTTTGAATGAGAATGACAGATCTATAAGTAAACATTTCTATGTGAATTTGATCGGGTCACCCAAAAAGTTATATATTGCAAGCTTCAACAAATAGGGCACCACAGTTCTCTGTAATAATAATGATATAATACTTTGGTTATATTTGTCCTATTTCACACATGTACAATGTATTTATATACACGTTTGATTTGGAAATGTGTTTTTGGAATATACCAAATCCCTGTGAAACACCCTTGGAGAGTGGGGTCACAGCCAGGGTCAGCCATTATCAATGGCGACCTTGGAGCAGTGCCTTGCTCAAGGGCATATTGACAGATTTTTCACCTTGTCAGCTCTGGGATTTGTATTTGCGACCTTTCAGTTACTGGCTCAACACTCTAATGGCTAGGTGTGTTTAAACAGTGTAACTGATCACTAAGTTTGGCCACAGCAGCTGAGGACGACCTCTGCCAGACAAGTTTCACTTCTTGCTTACACAAGCTTCCTGTTGGTAGTACCTTCAGACAATCAATAAAAGTGATATGGTCAGGTGTTTTTCTCCAACCACATAACATTACAACAGTCATCAGACTACAATTTATAGCCTTATTAGAGACTGACTGTGAGGAGTCTGTCTGAAGTAGAACTGTTAATGTATTAATTACGCTGTCGTTGTAACTCCATTGCTGACCTTTGCTCAGTCAAAACGCATCAACATCTGACATGGTCCCCAGGGTGTCTGATATGCACTATGGCTCTGCCCTTCACACCTTTTCTTACATCATTTACTGTGATGATGACTTGATATGCAAGTCTTGGTTGCATCATCATGTGGATCCTGTTAGCTCTGATGTCCACCAGACCTGGGTTCAATTACGATTTTTAAAGTATTTTTTAAATACATTTTAGCTTTTATTTTTGGATTGTCAGGCGGGCAGGGGTTTGAGACTCTCTTCTAATGGTTCCATTGCACCAGGCAAGCTCAATCAAGCCAAGCTAGTATAGTATTTGAACCCAGGCCTGGTCACCATGCCCTCATCTGACCTTTATCGTTCTCATAGTTCATTTTTCTCATTCGTTCGTCACTGAATTAGGTAATTAGCTAATTAATTTTTTTTAGGACTGAGTTAATTGGGTTTCTTTATGAAACAAAACAGCCATTTGTTGTCCTCAGTCCTGCTGGTCGAACTATGACCAGATTTCCAGGTTAGTTCAGGTTAAATTTATTTCCATGCATGAGATTGTGTGTGTGTCCACTTCGAGCGGTGGGCGCAGAGAAAGGTTGGTATGACTTGGATCAGTTTCAGTGGTGTAACGTAACATCGTACTGCTCAATTGCTGGTCGGCACATGAAATATGGGAAAATTGAGAATGGGGCTTGGAATGGCTTGCTGACGATGTGATGTTGGCAGGCTTCATCTTGTTCAGAGCACAAACACACCATACTATAATAGTGTATTAATTGAGCGGTTTAAAATGTAAATGGGTAACAAGTAGGCTTGGGTGGTACCCAGATTTTCATATAGTCATACCGTCCTTCTCTTATCCCGGGATTTACCATATTACCGGCATAGCACACAAGGGGGCGCTAAAAAACGCAAGAAAAGCCCATTGGGCCTCTATTACCAAAAATGCTACCAAAATTACACAGACGCTGTTAGCAAATCCAGCTCATAAAGTTATACATGCATAGCTAGTGGCAACCGAATGTTATTTTCGGTGAGTGTGGACATTTTACAAGTGAAAGTGAACGAGGTAAATTGTGCAAATGAACAAAGTTGTGATGCATGCTTTTCTGAAGGAAGAGCAGCATGTGAACACGGAGCGGAGGGGAGGAGAACGGAGGAGGGGAAAAACGCTAGTAGGAAGCACAGGGACAAAATGGCAGCTGTACAGAACTCATCCAGAGCTCTTTGACTTCTGGCAGAAAGCCGTTATAAGATATCTGATGGCCAACATTTAGTAGTGAATTGCATACTCATGTGCACCGCACAACAGAGACTCACTGATAGATATAGAACGCTATGGACTCACCAACAGAGACTCACTGATAGATATACAGTAGAACACTATGGACTCACCAACAGAGACTCACTGATAGATATAGAACGCTATGGACTCACCAACAGAGACTCACTGATAGATATAGAACGCTATGGACTCACCAACAGAGACTCACTGATAGATATAGAACGCTATGGACTCACCAACAGAGACTCACTGATAGATATAGAACGCTATGGACTCACCAACAGAGACTCACTGATAGATATAGAACACTATGGACTCACCAACAGAGACTCACTGATAGATATACAGTAGAACACTATGGACTCACCAACAGAGACTCACTGATAGATATACAGTAGAACACTATGGACTCACCAACAGAGACTCACTGATAGATATACAGTAGAACACTATGGACTCACCAACAGAGACTCACTGATAGATATACAGTAGAACACTATGGACTCACCAACAGAGACTCACTGATAGATATACAGTAGAACACTATGGACTCACCAGCAGAGACTCACTGATAGATATACAGTAGAACGCTATGGACTCACCAGCAGAGACTCACTGATAGATATACAGTAGAACGCTATGGACTCACCAGCTTCCGCTTTCTCCTGTTGTGCTATTTACAAAAAAACACACATGGCTGGCTCAACTGTTCTGGGGAACTACGGTAAGGTTCATAATGTAAAATAATGTGACAGGTGAAATGAAGAACGCAACCTGCTTCATCTCCTAACGTATTACACAAGTTGACTGCAGGTATTCACTTTAAAAAGTTGCTACAAATATTCAAATGTATTGAAAAACCATCCCGTATTCTTATTCCAAATCCCACAGTACACCGCCCGAGCAGGTTCTAATATTACCACTAGAACACTGAGTAAATGCATTCTGGAAATAGATTTACATAGTGCGGAATACATTTTAGTCATTTAGCAGACGCTCTTATCCAGAGCGATTTACAGTTGGTGAGTGCATACTTTTTTTTTTCTTCTCATACTGGCCCCCCCGTGGGAATCGAACCCACAACCCTGGCGTTGCGAACGCCATGCTCTACCAACTGAGCTACACGGGGACTACATAGGAATAAAAGTCCCATTCTTAAAGTGATTTCATGCAATGATCATACAGGGGAAAAACTAAGGGGACGTGACAGACTGGCAAACTGATGTTACATTTCTCAATTGCTTAAAATTAGATCAATGTTAGGGGTTAAGGTTAGGGTCAGTTTCAAATCAAATCAAATTTTATTGGTCACGTACACATATATTTAGCAGATTTTATTGCGTGTGTAGCAAGATGCTTGTGTTCCTAGCGCCAACAGTGCAGTTTTAGGTTTTGATGTCGGGATGTCTGTCAGTCACGCCCCTTTTTAGTCTCACCGTGATCAAACAATGGCTTTAGATTCTATAGTTTTCTAACATTTTGTCCTTCATTCTCCTTGCAGCCAAACAGGTGACGTCAGGACTCTGGTGTTTCCTGTGCTGTACCTCAATGAGGTAAGCTGGGCTTGGTCATTCATTCACATAATGTATATGCTGTTGATCTTCTTTGTGTCTACTGGCAGACTGACAACACTTCTGATGGCCCTGCATATAGCTTCATTTCGTTCAGTTCCCCTTCTACTGTTGTTTTCCAAGTTGTTTTTGGGCGTCCACGTTTGTGTAATGTACTAATGTTGTTCATTAGTTAAATCACATGCCAAACTATCTGAATAAGCGATTGTTCCCCCACTAGGTCAAAAGTAAATAGGATCCAAAAACATAAATAGAATGACGTGTGGCTCACAACAATGCTTAACGTTTCTTAGATGAGGAAACATGATACACGCTCAGCAAGGAATGTCCTTTAACCTTACGCCAGTTATCTGGAGCAAAGGTAACTGAAAAGCAAACCACTCCTGCATCAGGCTTCATATCAGGATTATCACAGTACGGCAAGGTGACCAAAGCTGTCATAAACTGTCATAACATGTTTATGACAACCTTATGTAGGCCTAGACACTCTGTGTCACTTTAGGAACTAAGAAGGTTCACCATCAGTGCAGTCTCATCAATGCTAGTATGAACTGTAGAAGAAACATATTTGAACAGAGGGGTTTTAGATGGAGCTAACTTCCTTTTTAAAAGAGACCTCTTGATAAGTTAAAATAGAAATCAACAACTATTAAAGGGATACTTCTAGAAGGACGTTTTGAATCGGTCAGTAGCCTAGAGAGTTATATGAGAAGAGTAGAGTATACACTAGATTACCAAAAGTATGTGGACACCCGCTTGTCCAACATCTCATTCCAAAATCATGGGCATTAATATGGAGTTGGTCCCACCTTTTGCTGCTATAACAGCCTCCACTCTTCTGGGAAGGCTTTCCACTAGATGTTGGAACATTGCTACGGGGACTTGCTTCCATTCAGTCACAAGCATTAGTGAGGTCGGGCGATTAGGCCTGGCTCGCAGTCGGTGTTCCAATTCATCCCAAAGGTGTTTGATGGGGTTGAGGTCAGGGCTCTGTGCATTTCTGCATGCTTTGTGTATGGGGGCATTGTCATGCTGAAACAGGAAAGGGCTTTCCCCAAACTGTTGCCACAAAGTTAGAAGCACAGAATCGTCTAGAATGTCATTGTATGCTGTAGCGTTAAGATTTCCCCTTCACTGGAACTAAGGGGCCTAGCCCGAACCATGAAAAACAGTCCCAGACCATTATTCCTCCTCCACCAAACTTTACAGTTGGCACTCTGCATTGCGGCAGGTAGCGTTCTCCTGGCATCCACCAAACCCAGATTTGTCCGTCGAACTGCCAGATGGTGAAGCGTGATTCGTCACTCTCCAGAGTCCAATTGCGGCGAGCTTTACACCACTCCAGCCGACGCTTGGCATTGCGCATGGTGATAGCTTGTGTGCATGAAGCTCCCAACGAACAATTCTTGTGCTGACGTTGCTTCCAGAGGCAGTGTTGCAACCGAGGAATTACGATTTTTCACATGCTACGCGTTTCAGCACTCGGCGGTCCCGTTGTGTGTCCTACCACTTTGCGGCTGAACAGTTGCTGCTCCTAGACGTTTCCACTTCACAATAACAGCACTTACAGTTGACCGGGGCGGCGCTAGCAGGACAGACATTTGACGAACTGACTTGTTGGAAAGGTGGCATCCTATGACGGGTGCCACGTTGAAAGTCACTGAGCTCTTCAGTAAGGCCATTCTACTGCCAGTGTTTGTCTATGGAGATTGCATGGCTGTGTGCTCGATTTTTATACACCTGTCAGCAACGGGTGTGGCTGAAATAGCAGGATCCACTCATTTGAAGGGGTGTCCACATTATTTTGGGAATATGTTGTGTGTTCTAAACAGTGTTTTGATAACGGTGAAGTGTAACAGTTCCATGTAGAATAAACCATCCTTCATAAATACTGTACAAGCAGTGTTCTTCTAATATAACAATGTGCAAATATTACACTTTTATATATCCTGTAGGGTGTCCTCTATAAGACAGGAGTTCCCTGACATGTTTGAAGAATACACAGGGTCCCCCACCTCCCACTATATTAAATAATAACAAAAGACGTTGAAAAGTAATAGATGTGTCTTGTATCATTTTAATGCTGAGTGCAAGGTCTCTCCCAGTTCAGACTTCTGCATCAACCTGACTTTTCAGTCAGAGGACAGTTCAAAAGCATCTCTTCTGTCCATCTGTAGAAAAAAATGAGGAAGGGTTGATTTGACACATGCTTTGTAATGGTGATAAAACTAAAACTAAACACTTGTGATTTTTACTGGCTTTATTAGTAATCACCTTTCCTCCCATCTGCGGTGCCGGCGTCCGATAGGCTTAGATCAGCTCCAGGCCCCTCTCGTTACAGATACTGGTCATGAAGGAGCCTGACTTCGGCTCCTATATCACAGAGGGAGGGAGGGAAAGACTGACTATCACCATACAGTCATGGAAGCCAACAGTAAATACACGGTTGAACATAGCCAATCAAACAAGGGACACGTGCCAGCATGGCACTGACTAGTTGGCATTACTCACTCTGGGTTCAGGAGTAGTCCATTGGCAGAGTTACAATGCACATATACACACAGCACTGATTCAATGGTGTTTAGGTGAATTCCAGGACAGATAGTATTTTGACCGTTGACCATATCAAATGTGACAAACCTCCATTTGAAGTGTCCTCCAATACTCTGAAGTGGTGTCTGGCCACTGCCTATGCCATCTGTAGCAGCTCCTGATATGGTAGGGGGGGTTCCCACAACGCTGCTGAACAACAAGTCCACCAGGTTTTGCAAGTAGCTTGTGAATTAAATAAAATATAATCGCTCAATAAACATAGCGAGAGGGCCTCCCGAGTAGCTGTGCCACTAGAGATCCTGGTTCGAGTCCAGGCTCTGTCGCGACCGGGAGACCCATGGGGCGCACAATTGGCCCAGCGTCGTCCTGGTTATGGGGAGGATTTGGCCGGCGGGGATGTTCTTGTCCCATCGCACACTAGTGACTCATGTGGCGGTCCGGGCGCAGTGCACGCCGACTCGGTCGCCTGGTGTTCGGCGTTCCCTCCGACACATTGGTGCTGCTGGCTTCCGGGTTAAGCGGGCACGTGTGTCCAGAAGCAGTGCGTCTCGGTTGGGTTGTGTTTCGGAGGACGCTCGTGTCCGTACGGAAGATGCAGCGATGGAATAAGACAGTAACTACTTCCAAAACAAAATCCACTTTTAAAAAAATAAACATAGCGAGAAAAATAACTATTTTGTTTGGAAGTAAAATGTATATGCTAATAGAATCAAATCAAAAGTGTATTGGTCACGTACACGGATTTGCAGATCTGGTGCAAATCCGTGTACGGATGTTGTTTTGGGTTGGCAGAAGAAGCCCCGAATGCTAGCTACCTAACTTACAAATCCGGGTTAGTTTTATATATTTTGTCTGCGTTTAAATTATTTGGCTTGCTAGCTAACGTTAGCTAGCCAGTTCGCTTTGAAACATTATTAAAGCAAGCTGGCTAAATCTTATTATTAACTAGCAAGCTAGTATCCAAGTGCCTGGCCTTTACTGGCCCTTAATGCCAATGGGCTACAGTTAGCTGTTATTAGCAAGGTAGTTAGCTAACGTGAGCTATGCACATCTTCCTCTATGCTACATCACATTACACGTTAGCTTGATGTACACTGCTCAAAAAAATAAAGGGAACACTTAAACAACACAATGTAACTCCAAGTCAATCACACTTCTGTGAAATCAAACTGTCCACTTAGGAAGCAACACTGTTTGACAATACATTTCACATGCTGTTGTGCAAATGGAATAGACAACAGGTGGAAATTATAGGCAATTAGCAAGACACCACCAATAAAGGACTGGTTTTGCAGTTGGTGACCACAGACCACTTCTCAGTTCCTATGCTTCCTGGCTGATGTTTTGGTCACTTTTGAATGCTGGCGGTGCTTTCACTCTAGTGGTAGCATGAGACGGAGTCTACAACCCACACAAGTGGCTCAGGTAGTGCAGCTCATCCAGGATGGCACATCAATGCGAGCTGTGGGAAGAAGGTTTGCTGTGTCTGTCAGCGTAGTGTCCAGAGCATGGTTGCGCTACCAGGAGACAGGCCAGTACATCAGGAGACGTGGAGGAGGCCGTAGGAGGGCAACAACCCAGCAGCAGGACTGCTACCTCCGCCTTTGTGCAAGGAGGAGAAGGAGGAGCACTGCCAGAGCCCTGCAAAATGACCTCCAGCAGGCCACAAATGTGTCTGCTCAAACGGTCAGAAACAGACTCCATGAGGGTGGTATGAGGGCCCGACGTCCACAGGTGGGGGTTGTGCTTACAGGACATTTGGCATTTGCCAGAGAACACCAAGATTGGCAAATTCGCCACTGGCGCCCTGTGCTCTTCACAGATGAAAGCAGGTTCACACTGAGCACACGTGACAGACGTGACAGAGTCTGGAGACGCCGTGGAGAACGTTCTGCAAATGTATTAAAAATATAAAACTGAAATATCACATTTACATATCTTTAATGTTACAACTTCGCTTTTTCGGCTGGTGGAAGTCCTGTAGAACCATGTCCAGATAAAGGGTCCTGTAGAACCACGTCCAGATAAAGGGTCCTGTAGAACCATGTCCAGATAAAGGGTCCTGTAGAACCACGTCCAGATAAAGGGTCCTGTAGAACCATGTCCAGATAAAGGGTCCTGTAGAACCACGTCCAGATAAAGGGTCCTGTAGAACCACGTCCAGATAAAGGGTCCTGTAGAACCACGTCCAGATAAAGGGTCCTGTAGAACCACGTCCAGATAAAGGGTCCTGTAGAACCACGTCCAGATAAAGGGTCCTGTAGAACCACGTCCAGATAAAGGGTCCTGTAGAACCACGTCCAGATAAAGGGTCCTGTAGAACCACGTCCAGATAAAGGGTCCTGTAGAACCATGTCCAGATAAAGGGTCCTGTAGAACCATGTCCAGATAAAGGGTCCTGTAGAACCATGTCCAGATAAAGAGTCTGGGGTGAAAAAGTTGAATGAACAAAGTAGAGTGAGGAGATAACTAAGACGTTGTTAAATGTATTTAAATACAGATTTAGATTAAATGGTTATTAAAAACCTAAAAGTTTGGCAGGTAGCCAAGTAGTCCGGAAGTTGTGACTTTTTTACCACAATCTCTGTGGATTTGTCAGCAGGATATCATAGGTTATCTGACACACACACACACACTTGATCATGTTGTTGTTAGCAAATCGCCTGACCAGTTATAAAAACTCAACTCTGCCTCAATATAAGAGAACAGAGTTGAGCGTTCCTCAGCTATTTAACTCTTTACCTGTTACCTCATACATGTTACACGTTAGCCTGCATATATAATACATTATGATCCAGTTGTAATGCATGGTATGACTTGACATAAGCATGTATGACCCCCTTATCTCTTCTCTTCTCCCCACAGAGTGTTGTGATCGATGAGGTATCGGCCAAACAGCTGCAGGTGATCGTGGCGGAGGGCAACGTAGTGGTCAACATACCCTTTATGCTGATTGGCTTCGGCATCCTCCTGGGCGTGGTCTTCATGGTGCTCCAGTGTCGTCAAAGGATCCCAGAGGTGAGAAGTCATAGCCGTAGGTCATAGGTCATTCATGTGTCGTAGGGCTGTGGTCAAAAGTAGTGTGCTAAATAGGGCAGGGTTTCCCAAACTTGGTCCTGGGTCCCCCCGGGTACACATTTTGGTTTTTGCCCTAGCACTACACAGCTGATTCAAATAACCAACTCATCATCAAGCTTCATTATTTGAATCAGCTGTGTAGTGCTAGGGCAAAAACCAAAACGTTCACCCGGGGGGGGGGGGGACCCAGGGGACCCAGGGGACCCAGGGGACCCAGGACCAAGTTTGGGAAACCCTGAAATCGGGATTAGGGTGCCATTTCTGACGTAGCCTATGACTTCATGAAGATGCCCTCTGTTCCATTAGGGAGTATTTATGTAAGTCATAAACAACTCCACCCTGTAGCTTCATGTTTGTGTAATATTAGCAGGAAGAGAAGGTTCCCGACACACTATCACTATCAGGGGCGGTTCCCCCAGCAAACTGCCTTCAGCAAATCAGACATAGTCAATAATGTCTTGGTATAAAAAAAAAAAAAGTAACCTTGGTAGCATCCTGAGAACTCCCTCACAGCTTTCTGTGATGGATACATGTTTCCCTCTCACGATATTATCAAAACAATAGGTGCTTAAAGAGATTTATCACGAGGTCCAGTTGGCTGTTGATCTGTTTTCTTATTTTAGAATTTACAGGGGCGAAATCAACTATCAAAACGCATGTAGATCTCATCAGTGATGTAGTCAAACTTCAAGTCAGAGTTGAGTCCCTAGTCCCAGCCCTTCATACTCAAGTCCTTTTTTCTTGAGCCAAGTACTTCATACTTGAGTCCTGGGAAACACAACATGTAGGACTCGTTATCTGAAAATAGATCTGAAATCAGATCGGACTAAATATTGTTTTTCTTTACATTTATTTTTCTCCTCAGAGCTCTTCTGACGAACGCCAGCCCCTTCTGAAGTCCTAGTCCCACAAGAAGTAGAATCTGCTCCACAGGAAGTGCGATCCTGGGAGGACAGGATTAGAATTGCCATCCGTGTTTTGTTAACTGTATCAAGGGTTCTGACTGCACACTGTTTCCACTTCACCAGATTGAATCATCTTCTACCCTGTAACCGTAACCTCACTGTTAGCTACTGTAAGGCTAGATCAGGAACCGGATTGAGAATGTTTTTGTCTTTTAAAATGAATAGTTTAAATACTTTCTAAAGTCTGACATATTTTAATCTGTTTTTCTTTTATTTGTTTTTTAATCCAACAGTTTATTTTTATTTTTTAACATGAGTTACAAGGAAGATGACTGTACTTTTATTTAATATTTTTGTTGCTTTTAAATGTTGTGTTTTGGGGTCACCCAGAGAGATGTAACACTGATTAGTAGGGAATGAGAGAGGATAGAAGCTCAGGCAGATTGCCAAGTTCATTTTACATTTTAGTCATTTAGCAGACGCTCTTATCCAGAGCGACTTACAGTTAGTGAGTGCATACATATTTTTTTTCATACTGGCCCCCCGTGGGAATCGAACCCACAACCCTGGCGTTGCAAGCGCCATGCTCTACCAACTGAGCTACACGGGGCCACTCATGTTAGACATTGAGAGGCTGTTGAAAAGAATTGCAATATTATTATGATCTATCGCTGTCATCATTAGGATTAGGAATGTCGTAAAACTTCAGTTAATAGCCCGGGCGTTTTATTTGCTGAAATCACTGAACGGAACAGGGGCTTATTAGAGACGGGCTTCTATTTGAGACAGGCTTCTATTTGAGACAGGCGTCTTATTTCCTTAATGCACACAGCTTTTGCTAATTTGCATAGTTCATTGTTTAATTCCAGCATTTTAATCATTTACATACTATTTTGTTTATTTTATTAGTATGTCTCTATTTAGAGAAGAAGAAAAAAACGTTTCCTTAACAGAATAATTATTTTCCTCTTTGACTGTGCATTTTCGGAAGTTCTTACTTTCACCACTAGAGGGTGATCTGACGGGGGTTTGTACTCCCAAAGTTGTTGACTGTTTTTTGTGCTTGCCAGTTAGCATTTCTCAGCTGTTAGCAGCCAATGGCTAGAGTTTTCTTAATGCCGATTGAAAACGGATGATTGCTATACTTTTTTTGAGTCATTACTGAATTGTTTAATGTAACAAGTCAAACATTAAACCTCGTAAACAATTAATGTTACGTGGTCCTCTGTAGCTCAATTGGTAGAGCATGGCGCTTGTAACGCCAGGGTAGTGGGTTCGATCCCCGGGACCACCCATACGTAAAAATGTATGCACACATGACTGTAAGTCGCTTTGGATAAAAGCGTCTGCTAAATGGCATATTATATTATTATTATTATTATTATTATTATTATTATTATTATTTAACCTCGTAAACAATTCATTTAGACCCCAGGCGTTTATTTGAAACAGGCGTTTTTTGCTGAAATATGTGCCGTTGTCTGGCTATTAAAAGGGACAGGTGGCTATTTGAGGCTGCTTTTAATTGAAGTTTTACGGCGTATCAAAACATCCACCTTTGGACTGATGACGTTAGCGCAGAGATGTTATTCTTATTACACAACCCCAGTGACATCGTCACTTTTATATATTTTTATACTGCTCGTAGGCCTACGAGGAATGATCTGTCTGCTTTGTGTGAAATAATAGGAGCTACGGGGTTTGGGTCAATTCCATTTCAATTTTAGTCAATTCAGGTGGTTAATTGAAATTAGAAAAATGTCCTGGATTGACTGAGTTGAAATGGAATTGACCCAAACACCTGACGAGGTTATCCTACTTTACTTTTAATTTAAAAATGTTATAACTACGTAATTACATAAACTACAGGTCAAAAGTTTTAGAACAACTACTCATTCAAGGGTTTTTATTTTTACTATTTTCATTGTAGAATAATAGTGAAAGACTTCAACTATGAAATAACACATATGGAGTAATGTAGTAACCAAAAAAGTGTTAAATAAGTCATAATATATTTTATATTTGAGATTCTTCAAATAGCCACCCTTTGCCTTGATGGCAGCTTTGCACACTCTTGGCATTCTCTCAACCAGCTTCATCTGGAATGCTTTTCCAATAGTCTTGAAGGAGTTCCCACATATGCTGAGCACTTGTTGGCTGCTTTTCCTTCACTCTGCGGTCTGACTCATCCCAAACCATCTCAATTTGGTTGAGGTCGGGGGATTGTGGAGGCCAGGTCATCTGGTGCAGCACTCCATCACTCTCCTTCTTGGTAAAATAGCCCTTACACAGCCTGGATGTGTGTTAGGTCATTGTCCTGTTGAAAAACAATTGATAGTCCCACTAAGCCCAAACCAGATGTGATGGCGTATCGCTGCAGAATGCTGTGGAAGCCATGCTGGTTAAGTGTGCCTTGAATTCTAAATAAATCACATACAGTGTCACCAGCAAAGCACCCCCACACCATAACACTTCCTCCTCCATGCTTCACAGTGGGAAATACATATGCGGAGATCATCCTTTCTCCCACACCACGTCTCACAAAGAGACGGCGGTTGGAACCAAAAATCAAAAATTTGGACTCTAGACCAAAGGACAAATTTCCACCGGTCTAATGTCCATTGCTCGTGTTTCTTGGCCAAAGCAAGTCTCTTCTTATTGGTGTCCTTTAGTAGTGGTTTCTTTGCAGCAATTCGACCATGAAGGCCTGATTCACACGGTCTCCTCTGAACAGTTGATGTTGAGATGTGTCTGTTACTTGAACTCTGTGAAGCATTTATTTGGGCTGCAATTTCTGAGGCTGGTAACTCTAATGAACTTATCCTCTGTAGCAGAGGTAAATCTGGGTCTTCCATTCCTGTGGCAGTCCTCATGAGAGCCAGTTTCATCATAGTGCTTGATGGTTTTTGTGACTGCACTTGAAGAAACTTTAAAAGTTCTTGAAATGTTCCGTATTATCTGACCTTCATGTCTTAAAGTAATGATGGACTGTCGTTTCTCTTTGCTTATTTGAACTGTTCTTGCTATAATATGGACTTGGTCCTTTACCAAATAGGGCTATCTTCTGTATACCCCCCCCCCAAGCTTGTCACAACAAAACTGATTGAAACGCATTAAGAAGGAAAGAAATTCCAGGTGACTACCTCATGAAGCTGGTTGAGAGAATGCCAGGAGTGTGCAAAGCTGTCATCAAGGCAAAGGGTGGCTATTTGAAGAATCTCAAATATAAAATATATTTTGATTTATTTAACACTTTTTTTGGTTACTACATGATTCCATATGTGTTATTTCATAGTTTTGATGTCTTCACCATTATTCTACAATGTAGAAAATAGTTTTTAAAAAATAAGAAAAACCCTGGAATGAGTAGGTGTTCTAAAACTTTTGACCGGTAGAGTACATTTAGGGAAAGTTATCAACATTTTATCAAACCAATCAGTTAATCTGTACATACATAAGGAAGCAAGCATTGGAATCCACTGTTAAATGAATCATTGGTCATTGAGACAGTCATATTTTCACAAAGAGGATAGACGCAAGAGAAAGTACTGGATATTTACAAGCAGTTGCTTATCAACAGATAGCTGTCATTTACAGATGGACTATCCAAATAAAGTGTGACCTAATTATTGACTACCCAATCATTGTGATTAATTGTTAAAGCTGGGGAAAGTAATGTTCACAACTCTGATATGCATAGAGTTGCAGAAATTAATTTTTTTATATTCATTTTTAGAGAGCGAAAGAGAGAGAGACTATATAACATTATTGTACTGACTGGTCATACAGTAGCAATAGAAAATAGAAATTAGACTACAAGGGAACGTTTCCCCTCAGTGTTTTGTTAGTTATAATACCACTAACCTCATGCCACTATACAAACAGTGATTAAAAACAATAATGTATGTAACAGAATGCATTGTGTGAGAATGACTCCTACATTTTAAATGTTATTCCCATAGTGATAATGACAGTATGTAAATAGTAAGTGATTCATTTTAGAGGGTTCTATCCGAAATGGGAGTTGGCAGGTGCACACACACAGTATCTGGTACCAGGTAAATGTAGTCTGTCATCCATTATCCCATGTCCTGAAAAGACCACCACTTATCCATTTGCTAATGCATTATGCTTCAGGAGCCCGCATGGCTTTTTTTTGTTTTGTAAGAAACAATAAAATACTTTCACTACCATGTCACAACAAATGCAATTTATATATTTTAACATTATTTACATTATGTGTGTACAACCTTGACATTATGTACAAATAAATAATTTACAAATAAATAACTGCTCCATGGTTTTAAACATATCTTCCGCAGACATTTTTTGCTTGTCAATAAAAACCGCTTCATGTTTGTTGAGTGCATTGTCTGTATTTTGTTTTAAAACATTTGTTGATTGGATAGATGAAGTATCCAATGGGAATGCTATTATCTGATAATACATACTGAGACAGGGTTCATATAACTTTACAACATTTGCAGCTTATTTACTGTTAGACTGTACCTGGTACATTTGTATCAGTTAGGAAGGGGTTATCGGGGCAGTTCAAATTATTTGGTTAGCTGTTTTTACCAAATATTTGGGAGTATTTGGTGAGCCAACTGAAGTCCTGTGACATCAGTTGGTACAGTTTGGCATTCCATTGACAGGCTCCGTTGATTGTTGCTTTTCCATTGATCGTTGTTCTGGCTTTGTCCAGACTTATAGCAGAGATCATATTTCAGTTCAAGAGGTAAAAATCTGGAAAGAACACGTTTTTTTCCTGCAAGAAATGACACAAAATATCCAAAGATTATTTTTTTTTGTTGCAAATGGAAACAATAGTTGTTTTGAATATGAGCATAGCACCGGAAATTAGTATAAGCTAGTGTTATAAACTAGCAGGTAGCTTGGTGGTTAAGAGCGTTGTGCCAGTAACCGAAAGGTCGCTGGTTCTAATCCCCGAGCCGACTAGGTGAAACATCTGTCGATGTGCCCTTGAGCAAGGCACTTAACCCTAATTGCTCCTGTAAGTCGCTCTGGATAAGAGTGTCTGCTAAATGACTAAAATGTAAATGTAGCTCTCCCTATTCAAACCCAGTACCTGCAGTAGTTGGTCCCACACTCATTGTGCTCTCTGCAGCTGGCGCCAACAGGCTTCAGAGTATTCCATCGCCACAGGAGAGAGCGCTTGGCTCGGGTGATCAGGCCTATCCCAGTCCAATCCTCAGGCACAGGAGCGGTCTGCACCTTGGGAAGGTGGAGGAAGGCAGGTTAGCGTCAGTCAGTCTCCTTTATAAACAAGTGCGGTGTGTAGGATTTCATTTTCTTTTAAGTCTCATTGAAACAGGGCTCGTTGACTGAAACAGCCTGACTGAAGTTATTCTGTAGATTGTCCGTTACCACTCAGCTGCTATCTCACAGACCGATATCGACAGACCCCTGAGTTCGGCAAAGCAAAACTGTACAGTAGCTAAAACCTGAAGCTACAATCTGCAGCAATCTGAACCTGCAGCAATCTGAACCTGCAGCAATGCATGCAAACTTCCCAATAAAATGTTAGATTCGTATCCGAAAGGCAAAATCTCCACCCAACATTCCAGGGACAGTGAGTGAATAAACGTCTTGTTGATGCCAAGCCGACGTAGCATCAGATCAGACGTAGGCTAACCTCTTCCCCCCTCCCCAGGCTCCATTGCTACCGCATAGAGTGAACCGGCTGGTGGACAAGATCAGACATGGGGCCTAGCATCCTACCTGGATTGGGCAGACCAGAGCCAGGAGCACGAAGATGGCTATGTACTGTGCTGTCCTCATGTTGAAGAGAGCAGAGCCTAGGTTCCTGATTGCCGTGCAATGAGACTATAGGAGCCTCGGCCGGCCACTTATATTAGAGGTGCTAATCTATTTGATAAGGGCTGCCAAGGGCAACGATCATCGGTAGGAGGTGGGGGCGTGTTCAAAGAACACTTTACCCGGGGTCCAAATGAGGGCAACTCCACGTCTGCAGGGCAGGCCACTGACACCTTTAACTGTGTAATGGCTCCTATCCTCTCTGAGCTGGGAGGGCCAGACTTGGGTTCAAATAGTATTTTGGTTTTTTCCCCACATAATTTTAGCTTTATTGAGCCTGCCTGCAGTTCCAGATGGATGGTGTTTGCACTTTTTGGACTAGACTATTCCATTGCACCAGACAACCTCCGTCAAGAGTAGCTAAAGTATTTGTAAGAAATCAAATACTATTTGAACCCAGAACTGGTGTGGACGGAGGAGCACTCTCACATATGCAGGGTTCAGGAGCACAGTGGTCTCACATATGCAGGGTTCAGGAGCACAGTGGTCTCACATATGCAGGGTTCAGGAGCACAGTGGTCTCACATATGCAGGGTTCAGGAGCACAGTGGTCTCACATATGCAGGGTTCAGGAGCACAGTGGTCTCACATATGCAGGGTTCAGGAGCACAGTGGTCTCACATATGCAGGATTCAGGAGCACAGTGGTCTCACATATGCAGGGTTCAGGAGCACAGTGGTCTCACATATGCAGGGTTCAGGAGCACAGTGGTCTCACATGAATTCAGCAGCAGTACTGTACATTGATGGTGGTTCAGTTTATAGTCTGATGTGTTGTCAGTGGAAGATCAAACCATGCAGAGATATCTAGAGATTGCTGACTGATTATGGTTAGTCCCAGATAAAAGTCCATGGTTCAGTACCAAGGTTACATTATAACATATTAGAGGAAGAATTCAGAGGTTACATTGTTACATATTAGAGAAAGAATTCAGAGGTTACATTGTTACATATTAGAGCAAGAATTCAGAGGTTACACTGTAACATATTAGAGAAAGAATTCAGAGGTTACACTGTAACATATTAGAGAAAGAATTCAGAGGTTACACTGTAACATATTAGAGAAAGAATTCAGAGGTTACACTGTAACATATTAGAGAAAGAATTCAGAGGTTACACTGTAACATATTAGAGAAAGAATTCAGAGGTTACACTGTAACATATTAGAGAAAGAATTCAGAGGTTACACTGTAACATATTAGAGAAATAATTCAGAGGTTACAATGTAACATATTAGAGAAAGAATTCAGAGGTTACACTGTAACATATTAGAGAAAGAATTCAGAGGTTACACTGTAACATATTAGAGAAAGAATTCAGAGGTTACACTGTAACATATTAGAGAAATAATTCAGAGGTTACACTGTAACATATTAGAGAAAGAATTCAGAGGTTACACTGTAACATATTAGAGAGAGAAGAAAGAACAAGTCCCTGGATCAACAACCCCCTAAACACCCTCTCTTGCAGTATAATAGATGGGGGCATGGTCTGGTGCAGCAACCATCCTGCTTTTCACATGCAGTAGAGTAAAGAACAGAAATATGCAGTCTTCTATCCTGGTCCTAAGTCTGATTGTGCTCTTGCCAACTCCATTGCTGTCATTGTCAAGCCAAACATGGCAGCCTGGCTAGTAGTCATCCATGCCAGCCACAGGAGTGAGCCAAGACTTGCAGCTTGGGTCTGACTAACAATAAAACAAAGGAAGACATGAAATACTAAATTGAGCATTCTCAACGCTGTGTGAAAGCTATCACCCCCAACCTTATTATATTTTGTTAATCACACCCTTCGTGACATACAGTGCCTTCGGAAAGTATTCAGACCTCTTCACTTTTTCCACATTTTATTACGTTACAGCCTTATTCTAAAATTGATTAAATCGGTTTTTCCCCTCATCAATCTACACACAATACCCCATAATGACAAAGCAAAAACAGATTTTTAGAAATGTTTGCTAATTTATAAATAAAAAAACCCTGAAATATTACATTTACATAAGTATTCAGACCCTTTACTCAGTACTTTGTTGAATCACCTTTGGCAGTGATTACAGCATCGAGTCTTCTTGGGTATGACGCTACAAGTTTGGCACACCTGTATTTGTATACTGTCAGGTTGGATGGGGAGTGTTGCTGCACAGCTATTTTCAGGTCTCTCCAGAGATGTTCGATCGGGTTTAAGTCTGGGCTCTGGCTGGGCCACTCAAGGACATTCAGAGACTTGTCCCGAAGCCACTCCTGCGTTGTCTTGGCTGTGGGCTTAGGGTCATTGTTCTGTTGGAAGGTCAACCTTCGCCCCAGTCTGAGGTCCTGAGCACACTGGAGAAGGTTTTCATCAAGGATCTCTCTGTACTTTGCTCTGTTCATCTTTGCCTCGATCCTGACAAGTCTCCCAGTCCCTGCCGCTGAAAAACATCCCCACAGCATGATGCTGCCACCACCATGCTTCACCGTAGGGATGGTGCCAGGTTTCCTCCAAACCTGAAGCTTGGCATTCAGGCCAAAGAGTTCAATCTTGGTTTCATCAGACCAGAGAATCTTGTTTCTCATGGTCTGAGAGTCTTTAGGTGACTTTTGGCAAACTCCAAGTGGGCTGTCATGTGCCTTTTACTGAGGTGTGGCTGCCGTCTGGCCACTCTACCATAAAGGCCTGAAAGGTTCTCCCATCTCCACAGAGGAACTCTAGAGCTCTGTCAGAGTGACCATCGGGTTCTTGGTCACCTCCCTGACCAAGGCCCTTCTCCCCCGATTGCTCAGTTTGGCCAGGCGGCCAGCTCTAGGAAGAGTCTTGGTGGTTCCAAACTTCTTCCATTTAAGAATGATGGAGAATGCCACTGTGTTCTTGGGGACCTTCAATGCTGAACATTTTGTTTTTTACCCTTCCCCAGATCTGTGCCTCGACACAATCCTGTCTTGGAGCGCTACGGACAATTCCTTCGACCTCATGGCTTGGTTTTTGCTCTGACATGCACTGTCAACTGTGGGACCTAATATAGACAGGTGTGTGCCTTTCCAAATAATGTCCAATCAATTGAATTTACCACAAGTGGACTCCAATGAAGTTGTAGAAACATCTCAAGGATGATGAATGGAAACAGGATGCACCTGAGCTCAATTTCGAGTCTCATAGCAAAGGGTCTGAATACTTATGTAAATAAGGTATTTATGTTTTGTATTTTTTATTAATTTGCAAAAATGTCTAAAAACCTGTTTTCACTTTGTCATTATGGGGTATTATGTGTAGATTACTGAGGACTTTTATTTATTTAATCAATTTTAGAATAAGGCTGTAACGTAACAAAGTGTGGAAGAAGTCCAGGGGTCTGAATACTTTCCGAAGGCACTCTGTGTGTGTTTGGAGTTCCATGGTTGTCGGAGGAGATAGGACAGAGGTTATGTTCAAAATGACACCCTATTCCTTATGTAGTGCACTACTTTCAGCAGGGCCCACTGTCACTCCCTGACCTTAGAGATCACCTGTATTCTCTGTTTGGTTAGGTCAGGGTGTGATTTGGATATAATCTAGTTGATCTATTTCTATGTTGGCCGGGTGTGGTTTCCAATCAGAGGCAGCTGTCGATCGTTGTCTCTGATTGAGGATCATACTTAGGCAGCCATTTTGCCTACCTATGTTCTGGGATCTTGTTTCTGGTTGGCTTGTTGGATGTTTAGCCCTTGAACTTCACGTTCTGTTACGATTTTGTTAGTTTGTCGGTGTTTATTAAAATAAACGACTATGTACGCATATGTACGCATACCACGCTGCACCTTGGTCCGATCCTTTACACAACGGACGTCACAGAAGATCCCACCACCAACGGACCAAGCAGCGTGGCCAGGAGGAGCAGACATGCTGGACACAGGTGGGGAAGACATTCTGGACATGGGAGGAGATATTAGCCGGTAAGGGACCCTGGGCGAAGGAAGAAGCCCAGGCAGGAAAGGATCAACAGCGACGACGAAGGAAGCCCCAATACATTTTTTTTTGGGTGGGGGGCACACGGGGTGGTTGGCGGAGCCAGGTTTCAGACCAGAGCCAACTCCCCGCACTCGCTTTAGGGAGCGGGTGACCGTTCAGGCACCCTGTAATGCGGTGATAGGCACTATGTCTCCAGTGCGCATTCACAGCCCGGTGCGCTTGGTAAGTGCTAAAGTGAGCATCCAGCCAGGACGGGTTGTGCCTTACGCTCCAGACCTCCAGTGTGCCTCCACGGCCCAGTATATCCTGCGCCGGCTCTACGCACCGTGTCGCCAGTGCACCTTCACAGCCCAGTGCGTCCTGTGCCAGCACCCCGCACTTGCCGGGCTCCAGTGATGATCCATGGCACGAAGCCTCCAGTGATGATCCATGGCACGAAGCCTCCAGTGATGATCCATGGCACGAAGCCTCCTGTGATGGTCCATGGCCCCGCGCCTCCTGCGACGGTCTGCAGTCCAGAGCCTCCAGCGACGGTCTGCAGTCCAGAGCCTCCAGCGACGGTCTGCAGTCCAGAGCCTCCAGCGACAGTCTGCTGTCCAGAGCCTCCAGCGACAGTCTGCAGTCCAGAGTGTCCAGCGCCGGTCAGCTGCTCCACTCCTGTGCCAGAGCAGTCCGCTCCACCGGTGCCCAGTCCAGCTCCGGTCAGCTGCTCCACTCCTGTGCCGGAGCAGTCCGCTCCACCGGTGCCTAGTCCAGTGCTGGTCAGCTGCTCCACTCCTGTGCCAGAGCAGTCCGCTCCACCGGTGCCTTAGTCCAGCTCCGGTCAGCTGCTCCACTCCAGTGCCAGAGCAGTCCGCTCCACCAGTGCCTAGTCCAGCTCCGGTCAGCTGCTTCACTCCAGTGTCAGAGCAGTCTGTTCCACCGGTGCCTAGTCCAGCTCCGATTATCTGCTCCTTACCAGAGCCGGGGCAGTCCACTTCACCGGTGCTCACACCAGGGTCCAGACAGGGCTTGGTGCATTGTGGGAGGACTGAGAGGGGGAGCATCGCGCTGGGGTCCAGACCGGACCAGGCATGCAAAGGGGAGGCA